GGTCACATGAAGTTTTGTTTTGAGGATGATTATCCGAAGTTAAACCAAATCGGCGGGATTGCCCTTTCACTACAGTGTAACTCCCGCTACCTTGCAATTTATACGTGTAAACGGACGCAACAACTCCTAACGTGTCATGTAACATCAAACAATGTTTGGAGTTGTTGGCCAAAAATGTTGCGTCCTTTTAAACGGGACTCTATACCCATTAAACCAATACATCTGGTCTTGTATCGTTATGTTACTGAACGATCATCAATACAGCTTAATCCTTCACAAATATTTCATCGTACGCTTCAATGGCTTAAAACAAAGAATCGATTCATTTGCAACATAAGCGTGTAACCACCGCATTTGCCTCTTGGATTTTTTCACTGTTTTTAAGCTTAAAAACAATAAAAATTCTATCAGGCAAAGGCGACGGCTATACACGTTTGAGTGAATCCACCCAAAATAAACGGTAAAGTGGAAGTCTGATGATGTATCAAGTAGAAACGTATCTGCATACACGTCATGGTAAGCGCGAGAGGGAACTAGTAAATTAACAAATTTTCTGGCAGACTCACAAATAAATGTCACTCTAAAGATCAAATTAGCTTCCACACTACAGATTTAGAGAAAAGGCCATTATTTTTTAAGTCATTCAGGATGGCGGTTTATACTCCAATACTGGGCAGCCGGGTTGAGACTCATCAGGCATTCAAGTTCGTATATCCGAGAACAAAAACTGAAAATTAAACTCGATCAAAAGCACACATCAAATCCGTTCGGGTACAACTGAGTGACGGCTTAATATTGATTTTCCCTGATTAAGCCTTTGCAAATGTTCAAGCCGAATCGAGCCAAAAAAGACACACATCCAAATGTTAAAGCCAAACAAGACACAAACTAGTGGATGAGCCACTATTACTTCATGAATAGAACCTCAATAGCCCAAAATATAATGCAAGATCAACTGAGAAACAGGAGACCTGAACTGAAAAACAGATATTTTTGGCGATACAAAAGAGTAAAACAAAATGTTGGACGCCTTGCATCTGTGCCACAGATCACCTAACACAACTAACGATTATCTCACCAAAGAAACAAAGGACAGTTCCCACCACAATGCAGACTGCAGCCAGTACACAGCTTTGCGCATCGTATGAATTATGCAGCTTGCAGCTATCCGTGTAGGGAGCCAGGCTTGGGATTGCAACAATAGCCATCGAGAAACCAAACCGCTATCAAGTTATTCCCAAATCAGCATAGACTACGCGGCAAAATGCTTTCTGGTAAGCCTTAGCAAACGCCTATTGTAGTTTCCGAGAAATGAGTTTCCAGACGTTTCAACGAAACGTAGTCGTCACTGCAGGCGGGGTTATTGAGGTGATAGTTTCTATAGCAACTGTGACTACCAATCTGATCTTCTAAGTGACGAAAGTGTATGTAATTCGGAAAGCCGAATCTAGCTCGACGTATTTGCTCGAGGTTGAATTTCATATTTGTTGGACGAGTCCAATTTAAATTCTTAGGTTTTTGTGACAGTCATTTCATTCTTGAAGGGCATTTTTCCTGGGAATGGGAGTCCAGACGTCTGTTATGTTACACTCTTACTATTTTTTCGTAGTGAGACTTCGTGTGGTTTTGCACGCTACGTTTGAAGATTTTTGTAACAAGCGTTACAAAGACATCTTGTCTCAAATTCGAACTATGGCTAAATACAATTCAGTTTGTAAAACAAGAACATCGGATTAATGATCCAAACAAGTACTTTTTTTACAATAATTAGAGTTATTTGCGTTCGTGACCTCACCAAAGGGCTCGTTTCTAGCAAACCTCAGTCACGCGCCACGTGCGTCACACCAGGGGGCCGTTTCTCGAAAGTTCCGATAATTAACGGGCCCGGTAAGCTGTCCCCGTTTACATTAAAGATCGAGGTTTCAATAGTATTGCATCTAACATGATAAAACTATCAGTTAATGAAACAAAATGGAGTAGTTTGGTAGCCAGGACCCGCGCTCTCATTCTTTATATTTCGATTTGAATATTTGATTTCGGGTCCGAAAAGTTACCGGGACTTTCGAGAAACGGGCCCAGGCCCGAAAGGAGTGGGTGCGACCAGTGAGACGGCTCGTTCCCAGGGCTTTTAAAAGCCTCTGGGACGAGGTTGCGACGGCTTCCCTCGCCGTTCTATGCTTGTATCTTCAAAAATGTGTGTAGAGGGAGACTATACATGTAGGTACAGACAGTCAAAGAGAATTCTTCGCGGCTCTAAACTATGAACTAGTACAGGGCTTCCATTAGTGGAGATGTAGAAGATTGTTAGTACAAGCTAAAACTTTGGAGCAATGCTTTTCGTTCCTCAACTTCACCACAGTGCCAGACTTGTTCTGAAGGTTTTTACTTAGAACTCCGCCATAAAGCAACTACCTGTTAACGCGACCCCATTCTCTCTGGCTCGAACCTGAAAAAGTAGTTCCCCCACCCATTATTACGGCCAACGACCAACTTCTTGGATTCCCCGGGGGGGGGGGGTGGCCCCCAATTGAAAGGGGGGGGGGTTTTTGGCGTTCCCCTTGGGGGTTTAAATTTTGGATTTTGGGTCCCCCCCCAAAACGGTAAAAATAAAAAAAGGTTCCCGTTTTACGCAGTTTCCCCGAGGGGAACACTTTTTTTGTATGTTTTTGCCCCAAACCCCCCCAAAAAACTACCTCCCGTGCACCCCCCCCCCTTCCCCTCGGCCCCCAACCGAAAAAGGCGTTCCCCCCCCCCCTTTTACCGCCCAACACCCAACTCTTTGGTTCCCCGGGGGGGGGGGGGGGACTCCAATATGAAAGGGGCGGGGATTATCGTCGTCTCCTTTGGGGATGTAAATTTCGGATTTTGGTCTCACTCACAAACAGTGAAAGATAAACAAAGGTTCCGGTTTATCGCAGTTTCCCGAAGGGTGAAAATTATTTATTTAAGTCTAGCCTAGCGAAGAAGTCACAAAAACCGCTGTTCTCGTATACTTATTCCTTGTTGGTTGCCGTTATTTTATCTTGCTACTAACCGTGGATATTGACTTTGGAAAGTTGGGCGAAAATAATGGTCTCACAGCAGTGAGCAAGATTAGATAGATCAATACTAATAGAGTAAAACCCCGCTGTAGCAGAGACTTAACACTTGCTGTAGATAAGCCTGATATTTATCATTTCGGTTTCACAAAGGGCCAAGCGACGCCACTGTCCAAGGCGATTTCTGGCTTGCGACCGCATGACACTACCTCTGTCCACGACCAATGGCACTATACCCGTCACCACTACAAGCCTTGAAAAAAAAAGATCAAGGGCTCGGGGAAATCCTCAAAAAGTTAGAAGATGCTGGAGGCTTGGGTGTCCTCAAGGCCTGTGGCGATTATGAGAAGCGGGCTAACAAGCACTAATCTCATCGACTTATTAAAAGTCGACACTTTGATTTGCCAGACATAAACCCCGTGATACCATCAACTCACGCGATACAAGTCCCTCTGACTGTCAAGAACGGTCCTATTCAGGGCTACGATCACCCGGACGATTATGCTCCACCTACTTATAAACCCTGTCAGTCGCTACACCTTGTTTTTCCAGTTACCAAAACCGTTTAAAGTTGGTGCTAAACCGCAAAACATAAATTCTGCGTTACAGATCACTATACTACACCCATTCAAAAGTGGCAAACTATCTCACCGAAGGAAAGAGAACAGCTCCATCCACAATACAGACTGAAGCCAGCAAGAAAGTAACCTGCGTAATAGACTCATATTTTATTATTTATATGTGCTGTACCTTCATTTCTATTAGTATTTATATTATTCATATAATTCGACTAGTTTGTATAATTCAGGGACCGCGGAGCATAGGGGCTGGGTGGGCTAGAGCAGGACCAAAAATTTGGCCTCGCTTATTCGAGTCTGGGCGCTTGCTAAATTTTCCTCCCAACAGGATAAGCACTTATTCGAGGTGGGCGCTAATTTGAGATTGGGCGCTTAATCGAATAAATACGGTATCGGCAAACGAATTTTTTCACATACCAAAAACCTATCCAACACATTGCAGGAAAAGAGCATGTCGGCCGCCAGCGGACGTTACAATGCAAAACTAACAATGGAAGTACTTTAAAAGAACGAAACAATGACTGTTTAAAGTAATATATCAAGCATGAGACGCAATGTTTCATCACCAGATGAAACACCGAGAAGAGAGTTGAAAATACGACGCACCGCGGAATATTTTTGACGAACTTCGAGGTGTTTCATCTGTTGATGATGACAGTGTCGAATACTTGATATTACTACAGTACCTAAACAAAATGATTTTAGAAGGAAAAATTAAGGATGCAATAATGAGCAGTTTTTCATCTGATTTCCAAAAACTCATACTGTATTTTCTTTATGAATTATTAATGAGTTGAGAAAGCATTTCACCAAACTGTTGAGGGAGGCCTATCCCGACATTTCAGAGCCCAAACTTTCGCGGAAGAGAAAGGCTTCTACAAGGTTTAAGGTGGAATCTGGAGCTCACATTTACTCCCAAAGAGCAGAAGATGACTACTGGCAAATATATTTTGAAGCTCTTCACATGGTCGTTTCTGCTATTAACGACGTTTTGATCAGCCGAGTTTTATAGCTTACAAGGACTTGGAAGAGAGTGAGTGTTCTTGTCAACATTGTTAATGACGATTCTAATTCTTCTCAAACTGAAGTTTGTGAAAGCTTTCGGCGCTCGTTCAGCTACGTCAAAATTTTTATTAGGTTTGATGTTAGTATTATAGATCCCTGATTATTGTTTATCGCCACACCGAACAATCACGGACAGTAGTTCACGCCGCAAGGAAACGACTCTCACATCTAATCAAATGACGTCAGCACGGTCAAAGCCTGGGTCGACTTATGTGCAGGCAGATGATGAATTGGGCACAGCCCCATACAATACGGAAGTAAATCTGCTCCACAGCAAGCTAACTGATCTCTTGTCGTCTCGTCTCCTTTTGTAAATAGCATGGCTCAAAGCAAGAGGGCTATTCATGATTCAGTTAGCAAAATAAGAAAACAGGTCCCGGGTAACATCCTTGCAACTGCTGGTAGTGCCTGCGTTCTAGAATGGCCTTGGAAAATCGATCATGCTTCTTCGCTCGACAGAGAAGATAAAATATTCTTAGCTTGCTCAAGTCAAGTTGTAAGCAAATCCGAACTGAACTCTGACAATGTTTGCACAGCCGACTGGGGAAGAAAGAAGACGTTTCATCTCAATAATATCCAACTCGAGGAGGTGCAGCTAAATAAGGACATTTCGCTCATCTTAATCCCCGTTGAGCTACTGCACAAGCAAAGAGTGTTTTCACGGTTAAGGAAGAATGAATTCTTGTCGGATCGACCTCAGCTCTGTAGCAAATCGAGACCTGAGAAAAATTGCAAGCTTTACTGTCACGTCGTTCGTGAGATGGGGCTGCCAGGAGACACATTTGATCTTCAGTGTTATTTGCTTAAGGTGGATGAAAATGGTTCTTACTACCTTCAAGTTCATGGCAATAAAGCTGAATTGAAAAGTTTAGAAGACTTTGATCGCTATGAATACCCAATAGGGTCGGTTATCCTGAACGACACAAGCGAAGTTGTGGGATTTTTGGCCTTTGGGGAAAAGGATGAGATTCTTCCTCTGTTCATTTTCCCAGAAGATCAGCAAGGTAAGTTGATGGTGTTATCTTCATTTCGGGGCCGTTTAACCTACTTTTATTACCAAGTGACATAGATCTTCGACGATCGCCTCACTTAATTGTAACAACGTTGACAAAATTATGCACGAGGGTGAACAGAAAGCATAACAGTCACGTTCAGTCACGTTGCGAATTTTGCGGGAAAGTTTTTTGTTAATAGGTTTTTACTTTTGCAGGTAATGAGCACGTGCCTCATGACAAGCTCACGGTGGATCTACCTAAAGATGTTGATTCTACTGAAGTCACCGACGGAGGTACTGAAAATGGGGAAAGGATGCAGTTAGCTCAGAAAGAAGCCCAGAAAAATGCCATTAAGAGCCAGGAGGATGACATGTCATCTGACAACAATTTAAACACAATTTGTGCCATGGAAAATGTTCCAAACAACAGTCCCTCAGACTCCTCGAATTCTAGTGAAGACAGCAATATATTAGCTGAAGTTACAGATCAACACACCTTTGAGACTTGTCTACAAGATCAAGACAAAGATCTCCTAAAAAACACAGAAATTTCGAGTGATCTCATGCGTCTCATGATTGAGAACCTACGTAAGTTCTAGTATTTACTAAAGTTGGTTGGCTCTAAACTCATTCAGCTATATATAAGCTGAGAATGTTGTTCATGGAAAGATCAAAATCAGTTTTAATAAATGTATACAGAAGGTACTTGAGTTAAGCCACGGGATGATTGTTCATGTGTAATTCTTTTCTTTTGGGCAACAAGCCTTGAGTATTATTGACTTCAGCTAATTTACTAAATGCTTTTTAAAAAATATATTTAGAACCTGTTCCTTTCTCTTCCATTAAGGAAATCAAATAAAAGCAAGCTATCACACCAATTAACATACTTTGAATTTTCTCAAGATTGTTACAGAGTATTAAGAGTATAGGTTTTTACAAGATTCTAATACAATAAATTGTTGATTGTTGTTTTAATCATCGTTATCATTATTATCGTTACAAATTATGTTAGGACATGAAGACCAAAACAATGTCAATATCAAGTCTGTTTTTCACTTTATTGAAATCCTTGTACAAAACATCGTGGTTTAGACACCCTATGCAAATTAACTCATCCTTTTTTACCAGCGATTTCAGATAGTAGCCAAAGAAGCCAACCAATGGAAATGTCTTTTCCATCACAAAACAGTGGTAGCGTAGGAATTCAAATTGGTGGTGCTAATGATGAAGAAGAATTTTGTTCAATTTTACCTCCATTATGTGGGAATGAAAGACCTTCAGCACAAGGACCCAGGGATTCTGAAGAAACAAACCCTGAGACAGATGATGCACATAAGGCAAATAAGCGGCCAGTTCAGAGAAGTCAGAGTGATCACAATGCAGAGAGTTTATCACAGGCAAAGAAAAGTCTCTTAAAGGTTCACTGTATAGAAAATGACCCATCATCAGGTAATTATTTAAAAAAATTTAGTCAACATTTGAAAAAATACACCTTAATTAGCTATTGAGCTAAAAAATATTATGTTAAAATATGTCAAGTATAAAAATACTTAAACTCTTCTAGTATCCAAAATTATCTATTATATCATTAGGCATTAAGGAAGTGGTCAAAACTGTACTTGACGACTGATGACCCACCTTGACTATGGCTGGTAGGGCTGTGCACAATTTTAACTGATTTAACTCCAACGTGCTTCACAAATCAATCCACAGGAATTCAAAACTAGAAAAGAAATAAAAGTAAAAGTATTCTCACCACAAGGGATGACATAAAGGTATTAAAATGCATTTAAAAAGTTGTTTTTCTTGTAAAGAAAAACACCTTGAGAAGTATAAAAGTAATACTGGCAATACGCAACTGCATGTAACTGTGTAGTTTGACATGCTTTAACTGTGCATGTGTTAAAACATGCCTGATCTCATAATTATTCACTACCCTTAATGACATATTTAGTGAAGTAACGCATAATGTTTTCATATAAATAGCTAACCTTTCTAAAGGCAAATCTTTGCTGATGTCATTGTTTACATTTTTTGCTCATTTATTAATAGCATATGAGTTAACCCATAGAAGGCATCACTGTATGCACAAATTAAATTCAGGAACTCGTTGATAGAGTTGGTTCAATGTGTGCAATTTTAACACAGAATCCACCAGGAAATTGATTAATTGTAATTTTCAGTGGACAAGAATTTTGCACCAGAATATTTAAAGAATATTCATTTGCATTCTTTTTCACATAATTTTTTCAAGGGCTAAAGATGTAATTATTCATCTCTGAGTCAGTAACACCAAAGAAAATTTCTGATGGGAGCCCGAGGAAATGAATTTCACAAAATTACTTACCTGTGGTTCACAATTCTTGTGAAATCTGACATTCATTTTCTTGAACTCCCATGAGAAATTTTCTTTGGTGTTATTACAGATGACTTTAAATTAAATCTTTAGCCTTTGAAAAATGTAACAAGAATGCAATGTTCTTTAAATTTTTCTGGAACAAGGTTTTTGTCCACTGAAAGTTAAAATTACTCAGTTTCCTGGTGGATTCCATCTTAAACTCTTTTCAATCAATAACACTGGAAATAGCAGCCATTGAAAACTTCCAAATTCCTGGGACTGACAAAAATGTTGATGAGCCCAGAAATTCTTTGGTAAGTTTCGAGGGTTTTTTTTGGAAAATAATTTCTCCAAAACTATGTTATATCGGGGCTCAAATTTTCCCAGACACAGTCAAACACCCCCTTTATGGACACCCACTTAATACGGTCACCTCATTATTACAGACAGTTTGCTTTGTCCCCGAGGGAAGTAAGCCCCTATGCTGCCTGTAAATTCAACCCACTTAATATGGACACCCCATTAATAAGGACACTTTCTATGGCCCCCTCAGTGTCCATATTAATGTGGTTTGACCGTACCTCACTGGTATTTGTTATGTTCTTTTGATATTCAGAGAGTTTATTTTAATAGCTTGATCAGAGAATAAAAAGGCATAATTATGCTTAAATGCCTCTAGCTGACCATTAAACTCTGATGCTCTGGTAAAATGCTCACAATACATAAACCAAAGCTTAAAAGATACATGACCTGCCTTACCTCATTTCGGGCTACTATTATGTGACCATGTGTAATAATGTATGATTTCAGAACAACTAGTTGAAAGTATTATACTGGGCGATGTGTATGCAATGGATATACTTAAAAGGCGTTTGGACACAAGTTATAACAAGAATATTCAAAATTGGCAACACTTGGCCTACCATCAGAATGTCCCACAAGATATGATCTCGAAGCTGACATGTCAGTCTCCAGCAAGCCGATCCGAGTCATTGTTCCAGTTGCTAGAATCAACAAATCCTGATCTCCCCATCGGAACACTGAAGTTTCACCTCAATTCTCTAACAAATATGGGAAATGTTGAGAAATGCATAAATCATCTTGAAGGTACATATCTAAAATGCAGTGCCACGTTTAAAGTAAAAACAAAAAAAGGAACTTGATATTGTTCTAGGACATCTCACTAAGTCCTGGTTATCAAGCTTTCCCCTATCCAAACACTTCTACTACATGCATATATACCCAGTAGCCAACTGATCAAGAATAAGACACCTGCATGACTGAAAATTATTAGCTAAGCATTTATATACATATAAGCGATTAGGACCTTTCTCTGCCATCAATCCTGTTAGATAGATAGATAAGATAAGAACTTTGTTTTAGCACGATAAAAAGATCAGCATTGCTGGTGGGGGGTCGTGCATACAACAATTATTACAAGAAAAATAAGGAGTACTGAAAGCAAATGAATGATAAAAAATTAAAAACTGTTAAAAATGTTTGTAACCAATATTTCAGTTTTAGTTGTAGCTAAAGCAGGTTGTGAAAAATAATGTACAACTGAAAATTAAAACTGTTAAAAGTATTCGTAACCGATATCTCTATTTTTAGTTGTAGCTAAAACTGGTTCGAAATTCACAATTTTACAAGACAGCATTTAAATTCTTTCAAGGTTTTGGCCCTTGTTTCCTTTTTCATTAAAGTATTCTATGCGATTGCTCCCCTAAAGCATATGGAGTTCCTGATAAAACTTGTTTCTGGTCTTGGAAGAATGATGTTCTCATTTCTTCTGCGTCCTGAATTCCTCTGTAAAAACAAATCTTTAAATTCCGTGACAGTGTAACCTTTTAAACACATGAAGACAATCTCTGTTAGTTGCAGTTTGTACATTGTTTCCAGACTATCCCATCCAGTTCGCATTAAGACATCTTCAGCGCTGTTGTCCCATGGCAGCCCATATACAATCCGTCCAGCCCCTGCATGGAGTTTCTCCAGGTTGTTTAGGTGCGTCTTGTTGCATGATCCCCACACTGTCAGACTGTATGTAACTGATGGCAGTATCACTTTTGTGTAGAAATCTTCTAATTACTTCTGAGGGAAGAATCGCATGTGTCGGAGTAGACTTAACTTGGATGCGAAGGACTTTGATACATTTGCAGCATGATCTGACCAGGAAAACTTGTTATCAACTTGTACTCCGAGGAGTCTTTCTCAGGTTGTCCACTTTATGATGTTGTTGCCAAGTGAAGAGCTTGGATAGGGCCAGTAAATGTTGATTTGCGCTGCATGATCATTGCTTTACATTTTTCTGGGTGTGGTATCATCGCATATCTGTCACACCATTCCTGGAGTTCAGCTAGAACATTGTTTAGTGAGTTTGTTAGCAAATCCATTGTTTCTGCGATACAGTATAATTATTGTTGTGTCGTTTGCATACAGATAAGTTTCCGCGGAGTGTGGAGATTTTGGGAGGTCGTTTGTGGAGAGGGAGAATAATGTGGGTCCAAGGACCAACCCTCGCAGCACTCCGTGAGTTATAATGTGTGTATCAGAGTCGCATCTGTTGATTCTGACGAACTGTCTTCGTTCTGTAAGGTAGTTCTTTAACCACAGCCAGATATATCTCCTCTGATTCCAAGGTCATTCAGCTTTTGTAGTGATATATTGTGCGACACTGTGTCGAAAGCTTTAGTGAAATCCACAAACAGTATTCCCACAAAAAGCTTTCTTTCTACTGCTTCTCTCCACCTTTCAGTTAGGTTTATTAAAAGCTGTTCTGTTAATTATTTCCCTTCCTATAAGCCCATTGTCAGTTATCAATTTTGTGTAACCACACGATTAGTGATATTACAGGATTCCATTAATTTACTTGGTATACTGGGCATAGACAGTGGTCTGTAACATGTTCTGTCTTCCTCTCGTCCTTTTTTGAACACTGCACTGACTCTAGCTATTTTCCACTGGTCTGGTGGCTTGCAGGCTTCAACAATCTGTTTAGACACACTTGTGAGAGATGGGGCTATAAACATACCTGCATACTTTAAAAGACATGCAGATACGGCATCTGGTCCCATGGCTTTCTTCACTTTTAACTTACAGATCTTTTCCTCGATTTCTTTCTGACCAATCGTGATGCTGGTCATAGTCGCCGTATCCACATTCTCATGTCTACAAGCAAGTAATGGCTGAATTTCATCTGCGGGGCCAATCAATTTTTCAGCAACTGTGCAGAAATAATAATATTGTTTAACATAGTTGCCTTTTCAGTGTCATCTGTTTAAGGGTTCCATCGTCCTTCTTTAATTGGTGGGCTTGTCTGTTTACTTTTGTTGTTCCTGATGTTTTTTTCAGTAGTCTCCAGTAAGCAGCAGCGGATTTTACTTCATAGAATAGATTGGAGTAATAACTGGCTGTGGCTTTTTTGTCATTGTTGATACTTTATTTCTAAGTCTTCTATAATCATCCCATAGCAGTGGATCATTTAGCTGATGCGCCCTTTTCAGAGTCTTGTATCTTTGATGCATGGTTATTCTGATTTCCTTTCATTGTTATCCAAGGCAGGCTGTTACTGCGTACTTTAATTTGCTTAAGTGGTGCATGTTCGTTGCATAATTCTGTGAAGGGCAGGTTCCATGCGTAATAAACATCAGTCGGATCATCAAAAACTTCGCAGACTTGAAAAGGCATACTTGCAATGCCACTTTGAAAGTTCCTTTTGTTGAATTTGTTGAAGTTCCTGATGGCCATTATTTTAGGCTGGTCTCTCAGGATACGGGCTGATAAGGTTGCATAAATCTGCAGGCAAGCAAAATCACTGGCAAACTTCTGACAACTGAAAAAACGATCATTATGGTGAATATTGCATAGTTGTACATTATATTGCTAAAATTATTTTTTTTCCCAACAATAATCAAATAATTTAATAACAACAGAATTTGAAGTTGAAATTCTTAGGCTGATGTTTTACCACAGATAAATAAAAGATGATGATAATAATGCACTCTGACAAAAATAGTTCAAAAACCACTTTACAACCTTAATTGGGGTGAAACAGTCCCCCCAACCTTCCTCATCAAAAATATAAATATGATCATAGCTGCCATAGGGTGGCATATAAGATACAAAATTATTTTATTTTGATCTCATGTAGCCTCCCCACAGACGTCCGTTGGGGTTCGTTTGTCACGCATTCATTTGAATGCGTGACAAACGAATCCCAACAGACGTCTGCGGGGAGGCTAGATCTCATGCTCAAACTCTTGAATTATTGCTCAATTGATTTCTAGAATTATCAAATGATACAATTGAGGCATGTTTGGGCTACAAACAAAAAATTATTTTATTACAAAAAAAGAGTTCTTGCTTCCCAAAAATATTGAAAGAAATTTGACCAAACGTGACGAGAGTATAGAAACTTAGGTAAAAAAAATAAAATAATGAAACAAAACCATGGGAAAACGTAGAGATAGAGTAGTAGTACTGACATCACTATACTGCACTACCGAAGTGGTGTTAGACATAGTGGTCGACAGTGTTCTCAATAAAAATACTATAAGCCATAAAATCAGCAACTTGTGTGTATGTAGACAAGGGTAGGGATTGATACACTTGATAGGCCTTGGAGCACTAATCCTCATGCAACTTAATGAGGAGATCCAGACCACCAGCTTGGTAGGCATAAGTAGCCCTCCCCCCCAACTCCCGGCAAAAACTACGTGGATCTAGTAGTTCACTGTATTCAGGCCTAAACTGCCACTGTGTAACATGAGGGCAATGGTAATGTATCTAGAAGTGAGGGGTGTGAGACCAAAACCATGGGCAGTGGGAAGGCAGCTGAAGAACGGTGCATCAGGAGGTGCTGGAACCAAGGTGAAATAGCGATGAATAGGGGAAACAGGGCAGAGTGGTGAGTTGGGAATGCTAGGAAGGGGAATGATGTGGATGCCCTATTTGTGTTGACGTGTTTTGGACCATTCAACCCAAAGGACAACACCTGAGGCTGTAAACTTGATATCATGCTGAGAGAGATGCAGATCGCTGTAGCTGCCATCGGGCGGCATAAGATGCAAAATTATTTTATAGCATTTTTTTCTTGTTGCTTTCTTTAGATCACAAGAAAATTGATGAGGTGTTGCAAAAAGGAATGATTCCTGGGAGGTTTTTCATCCTCCTGGATCACAAACAAGATGAACATTGGAAAAATTTAGGCCGCCGTCTTGGCATTGATGATAAAGACCTTACAGGAATAATGACTGACTGTGCAGCTCAACACAAAAATCCTGCCAAAGAAGTGATAGACTATCTATGTGCAAAACACCCAAATATGCCCATCAGTGATTTCAAGATGTACTTGGGCTGTGATACTGGTATAAAAAGGAAGGATATAATCAAGGAATTGGACAGCCAACCAGGTATTTATACCATTGATATGTGTCATAAAGTTATAAACACCGTGAACTTGTCCCAGGTGAGGGGGCAACCTATGAATCTTTTGCACAGGTGTGCACTGCAAAGATCCTGGAACCCTAACTATACCAGACAAGGGTAAAGGCAGTCAAGCTGCCAGCACTGAATTCTGGCTTTATGTATGGTGTGGTCTCATTCACTCAGAAACCCTTCCAGTCCTTCCAGCTAATCCAGCAAGGCCAACCACATGCTGGTAAAGTCAGACCACCCCTATTCTTTATGAACAGTGGGTGGGTTCTTCAATGTCCCATAGAATAGGTTTGGGCAACATGGCCTGTAGTTCAGCAACCTTTTCTGAGTAGAGTAGAACAATCCTGACCATTCAAATGCAGATGTCATAACAAGGCAGCACTTTCTTCACAGTTGTTTAAAGAGCCTGGTGTTGGTCAAGCAGATGTTTTACATGATGGCCTCCCCCTTTTAATAGCAGACCAGCACTTCAGAGTTGTCAATAAGGGCTAATAGCCAGCCAAAACCGCTGGCTAGTTAGCCATCCTTAGCCGGCTACTTTCATCTCCTTCTACCATAACTGCTAACAAAAAATAAGCACCATCAATAAAATGTAAAGCATCTGTTTCCCAGTTTTGAAGGACATTGAACGCATATTTAAACAGGTTAGATCTGTGAAACCTTCGAATCGTGTGATGTCTTGGAATGCCTGGGACATTTCGACGGCATTGTTCCCAGTCTTGGATGTATTCTGACAAAACAACAATGGCATCCGTGGTGGAAAAATACCTCTTGAAACGCCATTTCCGAGACTCTAATTTTCAAAATGTCCCTAGATGCCTTGGCCCTCAAGATCTAGAACTTGTGCCTTTGGTGAGAGTTCCGAAGCTGCCTACCATTTGTTATCAGCCTGCTATTTAAAACTTCTTGACAGCCCTGGCACCTATCCAACTGAGCTCACTAGGTAGCATGCAGATGAAGGCATTGCATGTTTAGGTTCTAAGTGTAGTTACTAAAACAAGGGATGACCTACAGTGTACAATGAGCTACAATGAGCTACAATGAGCTACAATAAGCTACAATGACCAGGGACCGCGGAGGGGGAGGGGCTGGTAGGGCTATAGCCCTACCACTTTTATTGCTTGGATTTATTATCTAGCGCTCCAGTTGACATGGAAAAAGTATGGATTTTTCAACTTGAAAGTAATAAATGGCGTCTAGTCTCGCATATTTGCCTCACATCAAAGGCTCGGATGTCACAAACGAGACGCTCACAAAAATGCGCACTGATCAGAGCTTTGACCATTGCTCGCCTGGTTGGCGAACCGACGCTCCTAAGAAAGCGACGCGCTCCGGCCAGACTGGAGGTTGGTGTTGGTGCACCTAAGCTATTTTTCCAAACTGCTAAAGATCACTTTTAAGAAAGGTCTATTACGAGGCTATTGATCTTATCGTCAGTGCCTTCGATCAGCGCTTTAATCAGGAAAGCTTCAGCTCCTACGCCCAGATGGAGACTTTCTTGGTTAAAGCTGGTAATGGTGACGACTATGAGGCAGAGTTCAAGATTCTTGAGGCATCATACAGCAAAGATGTTGATAGCCTGCGAACGGTAGACGTTTCTCCTTGCGACACGTCCCTCAGCGGCGATGAGCGAGGAGAAACGTCTGCCGTTCGCAGGCTAAAATGTTGATACATGGGCGCTACCTGGACAACTAAGCATTTTGGAAGATATGTTAAATGAAGAGAAGACATCGTGTTTTGACGAAATCCTGTTGGCAGTGTCAAAGTTTCCAGAAGCAGAACAAAATATCTGTAAGCTGCTTGCTGTAAATCCTGCTACCAGCGCTACTATACTGGGGAGCGTTTATTCTCATCTGCACGGCCATAGGATGGATCGCGAAAGGTTTAGCAACCTAGTAATGAACAGACAGTGTCTCTATAGGGTTGCACAGGAGTTTCTTTCCCGCAATGAGAACCGCAACTTCAACAAGTAGCAATCTTAAGTAGGTTTATTTAACATATTGACTATATTGGATAGTATAGCACGTGTGGACCTTCATGTTACATTCATTAAGGCTGTAAATAGGATGGCGCGCAAGTGCAATTTAAGTGGCGAAACGCACACCTTAATGTTTTCTTGTACTGGCCAGATTTTTTAGCCCTACCACTTTAAAATGGTCTCCGTGGTCCATGATGACCTACAATGGCCGAATGTGGGGACCTTAAAATAAGGTGACAGTCCCTGCAATGAGAAAAGATGAAGATAAGAAAAAGACAGAAAAAGATCAGGGGACCAAGTTTGACGAGTAGCGGTATTAGATGTGTGTTTTTAACATTATGGTGAAGACTGCGTCCTGCATCCCTGATGCAAAAAAATCCATAAAGACACAAATTAATTCATGGCATGCGTCCTGTAGGACACAAAGAACAATAAATCTATTTGAAGATTTTTTGGTAGAATATCCTGTTCGTGTGATTTCTGTGGCTGTTATTTAAAGATGCATATTTATTTTAGTCTTTTTCTGTGCTTTAAATATATAGAAGGATGATATTTTAATTTCAGCAAACTGTAAAAAGAAATTTGGAGTCTGTCTGCATGTAGATTAACAGTGTCTCGTTACATAAAGGCCCAGCATTTTTAATTTAGGAATCCTTGTTTTTCTGAACTGGGACTTATTGGTTATGTATAGAGGTAACAAAATCATTGTACTTTTAGTCTACTGCATGACAGCCCAAATGATGACAACAACTCTGAAATTTATTACACTTGTAGATAAATTCAATAATTCATTAAATGATGATGTTAAAAACTAATCCACAAATTTCCTCAGTAACATGGTTTTGATTGGTTCAAGGTGTTAAACTTCTACTCAGTAACAAGATTTTTGGTTTAGAGTGCAAAATGAAAAGTTTCAACGTGCTCAGCAACAAGGTTTTGATTGGTCAAGCAAAAGATTTACTCATGCAAGCTGCACAGAATAAAATTTGCACTGAGAAGATAATGCATATTAAGTAACAAGTTATAATTATGCTCCTTCTTCCTGTGTGAAGTTCAGATAGCTAAAATCTATTTTGAGTCATTTGTCGATACAAGGTACTAACGTTACACAAAAATGCTACTACAATAATATCATTTTGAAAAACCTGCCATTTCTTAAGTTACCTGAGATCGGGCCCTATTTTTGTTTATCCTTAATCGCAGACGTAATTTAACCTCGGTTAGTAACGTCTGCAAAGCAGACTGAACAAATTAGTGGAAATGTGTTTTGAATTTCCTTTCATTTTGATTTGTAAGTCAACAATGGCTTTTTTACCAGACCAATAATGGCGCACACTCAAATCCTGGTACACTGGTGGGGGCCTAAAACAAGGATTTCAGTGCTGTTTCGCAGACGGACTTAACCAGAGTTTAGTTTCATCTGTGACGCAGGCTTATTTGAAAAGGGGTTGGCAAGTTTCCTTTAAAATTATGAGCCCAGTGTCATGTCCAAGCATGATGTTTGTGTTGCGTTTAGGGAAACAATCTGGCCCCACACGACACACATCATTAATGTTAAGTTAATAATAATAATAAAATCATCGTCATCATAATAAAGGATAAAGAATCATTGTCTGTAATTTTTGTAGTTCTTTGTAGGAAATTGTAGTTGTAGTTTATTGTACCTATACGGGTATGTGTGGCCCAAAGGGGTCGTGATTTTGAAGCTTCTGATTTAGAACGGGGTATCCATTTCAGAGGCGTTTTCTAGAATGGGATATAATATTTCGAACGCATCAAAGCTCCACTTTTGTATACAGCCATTTGAAAACATTCAAGGACAGACTGCTTTTAAAAATACAGTTCAGTGCGTTAACAGGCAAACTGTTGTACTCTTGTTGCACCCTACAACGGAGTATAAAAAATTGGCCCATTTCTAGAACGGGGTATCAGTTTTAGGGCGAATTGTAGAAGGGGGTATAAAAAATAGGCCCATTTCTAGAACGGGGTATCAATTTTAGGGGAAATTTTTTCTAGAACGGGGTGCCAATTTGGAGTCCCTGGTGGCACATACCCACCCAAAAAATACCCAAGTGCCCCCCCCCCCCGGGATTGTAGCTCACTGTAGGTAATTGTAACTGATGATTGTAATAAATTTATTGTAAGTCTTTGTAGCTAATTGTAGGTCGCTGCAATGTAGCTCATTCCTATTTTGACTAGGTAGGCATTTAAGAATCAAGGCTGCTCCTGTCAGCTATTGTTAAAAACAGCATTACTTCTGAAACTGAATGAGGACAGAAAAAGTAAAACATAAGAAGAGGGGTGGAATATGCTGACTCAAGAACTAACTAAGCCATCACGTACCCGTAGCTTTTAGACTAGCTAGACTATTTGTATGCGCATATGAAGATATTATACTTACTTTAATTTATTTGATTGACCTATTGCTTTTCGTTTCGTGTTACATATTCTACGTGTATACGAACATTTTACAGAACGGTTAACTTGCAAAAGCCAGGAATTGAAATGCAAACCAAAGTCAGCATAGACCTGTTGAAGTTAGAATGTAGGGTTAAAAGTTACAAAATCCGTTGTGTAGTTCTTACTTGTGCATCCGCCAAGGTCACATATTCCCCAAAATGACGGTCAAGAACCAGGGCCATAACGCCTGAGGCAACCAACCGACCGCAAGTAACCGCAAAGTGAGCAAAGTGAGCAAAGTGAGCAAAGTGAGCAAAGTTGAGCAAAGTGAGCAAAGTGAGCAAAGTGAGCTTGCGGAAACGAGCGCTGGCTTCAAACTCGTTCCCAGGGTCCTCTGGCATGCGGAGGGAGCTTGGGAGGGAGCAGACGTCGATAAGGTCAGGGAACAGGAGGGCATCGGAAGGAAGAGAAACGGAGGGGGATTTCCCTATCACACTTTTCTCCCCTTCCCCACAGTCCAGTCTTCCCCTATTTGAGGAGAATGTGCTCAGTAAAATATGTAAGCCGCTGCTTCACAGCACCTTCACTGATCTGCCATAAAGAGTAGGAGAAATGATGGTTTGCTACATGCAGATAGTGCCGGGGACGGCGCAAAGTCAGTAAAGTGAGCAGGAACAAACTGCGACTTTCTTTCCCCCTTTTTCTCGTCCGTTCTCCATTTTGTTTTACTCGCTGACTATCTAAACTCCTGAAAAGGGCAATGGGCGGTGTGGGTGAAAATTAAGGGTTGCCGGTGTCACAGCGTTTTGGGCATCCCCGCGTTTTGGGCATCCCCATTCCCAAATCCCTAGCGTTTTGGGCATCCCCTTCTCATATTACTGCAGCGTTTTGGGCATCCCCCGGTACCCTCCCGGGATGCCCAAATCGCTAGTGTTTTGGTCATCCCTTCCAAAAAAATGCTGGATTTCGCGGGAAAATCGAAAACGTTTTAGAGATGGCTTCCGCTAAATATAGAAATCTTTTCCAGTATCTTAAAAAGAAGGCTTATCCGGAAGGCTTTACAAAGCAAAAAAAACCAACTCTGCGAAATTTGCCAAAAAGTTCGAGTATGACTCAAAATTAGAGTCCTTGTTCTAGGTGGCCAAGGAGAAGGATGGCACAGCGCTTCGACGAATTGTTCACCGAGGAAGAGAAAGCGAGGGTCTTCGAAGAGTGCCACTCTGCTCCTTTTTCTGGACACGCCGGCCGCGATAATACTTTTGCACCCTGTGAAGGTTGTTCCCAAGGTGTGGTACTCGGTCGGAATTGATTTAATAGAAGCCCTAGCCTGTTCCAGGCGTTCAGATAGTGGGGAGCGGTGCGAAGTAAAAAGGAGCGCGAAAAAATAAAAGCAAGGGAGGAGGAGAGGTGAGAGAGGGAACCGCACCTCTCTCCCCAGTCCCCCTCTACTTTTCATCGCTTTTTTCACTCTGCACCGCTCCACTATCTGAACGCTTGGAACAGGCTATAGAAGCCCCTACTATAAAACGGCAACAGATTTCTTCTGTCCCGTAGGTGCAAGAGGCGTCTGTATAAATTGTGTGACAACCTTTTGTGTGTCAAGTAGCGCTGCGGGGTTAAGTTGTACAGGCCTCAAATGTCATGCATACTATGAATTTAACACCGCAAAACGCAGTTTTATTCATGTTTGTCTTTTGATTTTTTTGTTTAGTATTCTTGTTTTTGGCTGTTTTGCCCAAAACGCTAGGGATTTGGGAATGGGGATGCCCAAAAAGCTGTGACACCGGTCAGTTATAACTCAAGTCACCGCTCCTGCCAGCAATAAATTCAGTTCTGTATATGAATATAACCAGATCCTTCACTGACCAAGCTTGTACATTCAAGATGGCTCGATACTTTCCTTTCTCGCTTTTTTATAGACTTTTGTTAGCCAAACCCCAGCCATCTTGTTCGAACAAGAGTAGCCCATGGTAGCCAGTACGCGTTTAATACGCAGTATTCTCTTGCAAATATGCGTCATTGTAGCTAACCAGTTCGGTTTTAATTTCCACTTTTAACAGGTTTGAAAACATTGACAGACCTACAAGATAATTTGGAGTTAATGCGAGAGGTGACATGTATGCTGAATAGCGCGGATAATTCCCGAAAGCAAAACTATTTAGATCTCGCAAGAAAATGTGATATTCCCCCTGAGGTGTACAGAAGTATACAGCCACCCTGTTCCGAGAGCCCAACTAAACAGGTCTTAGAAGACATCGTTGGACGAAAGCCATTGTACACTGTTCAAGAGCTGTTCTCTGATTTGAAGGCAATAGACCGCTCAGATGTTGTAGAAGCTATTTGCCGTCATTTTGTCATTTTGTGGAAGCTGAAGACTCCTGAAAGCGTTAGTTCGCCATAATCTACGGTCGTTTCGATACATGTTTATACAGTTTAGGTGTAAATAGTTCTTTCCACATACTTAATTGGCTTAAAGAACAAAGAATATTCACTTAAACTGTCACCCGCAAACTATATACTAGAAGTTATCGAAATTTTTGTGCAATATCAAAGCTTGAGGTCGTATAGAAACTACCGAACTCCGTTCGCTACATATAATCATGCGGTCAAGCATGTCTGTTTGAGCTCTCGACATAGAAATAGAATCGAACAGAAGAACCCTGAGAAGAACACTGATTACAGCGTTAGTAGTCTACTTAAGAAACATGACATTCCTACGAATGAGTATCTGACTGCCATTACTAAATTAATTAGAATTATTGTCTTCAATAATTCGGTAATTTTAGTAGTAGATATAGTAAGAAACTTAGCTTAATAGTAGCGGAGTAAGGAGGCTTTCCCTGGGAGCTGAAATATGGTAAGCTCGGAAATGCAATAACTCGCCGCCCGCCAATATCGGTAGGCACAGTGCGTCAGAAGAGGGGGCAAGTAACTATTCAAAAGGTGTAAAAACGCACAAACTTGCTCGCTACCGATCAAATTTAATACTTTAATCCTTGCTGATTCACTAACGTTCTACACCAAATGTATTCCAACCTTAAACGGCACGTTTCGGGGTGCTGTTACCCTTCGATTGGAGGCCCTCGACTAATCTAGAAAGGTCGAAGGGCCTCTGCTCTGCCATGTGTAGACTGCTAGAGTGACAATTTTTTCTCAGCCACTTTTAAAATGAATTGCTGTCAAGATAGTGCTCAAACATATAAATAAATGGACATAGAATTGATCATCATTATCATCTTTATCTTCACAGGGTGTCAAGCGAGTCTTATATGTTATGATCCCAGGAAAAAAAACAGCGCTATTTTAACTTTCTAAAGTAAATGATGGACTTACTATAAGATTGAAAGATATCTTTGAAACCGAAAAAGAGCCTTTCTTAAATTCTTAAATGAAGAAGTTAGAGCCTCGGGTTGGGCCCGCAAGTGACTACTGGATTAGTCCTATATTTTTGCAGTTTTGGTGGGTTTTGTCCTATATTTTCAGGTCGCTCAGTCCTATATTCCTATATTTTTGGACCCCTAAAGCGCTTGACACCCTGTCTCCAACATCGCCGCCACATACCCTGCGTTCAAGCTGGACGCTACCGGAGAAACCGCTGCTTTCAGGGTCCCCCCCATCGCCATCTTCAGCATTCCGCTTCGGCTGCACTGTTTACACAATATGTTTTCAACACAAACTAGGGGTTTCTGAGAAGACAAGGTAACATTTCACCATTCAACCTTAAGTATATTTGTAGTACAAAAGAATAGCATACTATTCGCGACAGTGCCTTTCACGATCGCTGAATAAGAGACGGAGAAAAGGAACCGCGCTTGAGTGAGTTGGAAGTGAAAGGATAGGGAAGGGAGGGAGGGAAAAGAGAAGCGCGGCCGCATAAGGAGGCAAACGAGAGAGAGAGAGAGAGAGAGAGAGAGACAAACAATTCACGGCTGCCAGCAGCCAAAGGATTCTTACGCGAACTGGGCAGAAATGAGATGCGGAGCTCTTATTTATACTCCCGTTGGAAGAGACTGGCGCGAATAGAGGTTTAGTTCTTACGGTTATTAGTTTCTGAAGAAAATGTGGTGTTACCTAAATCTAACGGAGGGATAGCGCTGAAACGTCACTTGATGCAACCAACATGTAATTATAACAAGATCGTTATAAGATCCGTCACTAAAAGTGGACTCTTACAAAGACGAAACGAAACTCCTAAGTAAATTATTATCAAGTAAAGTTCCTTTTTGTTATTCGAAATTTCAATCTTCAGGCTACCGCCAGAGAAAGGCGGTGGTGTGTGATTGGTTTGCCCTTTCAAAGTCCCGCAGTAGTATTTTAGGAAGTTAGATCGAGCATTCATTATAAATTTTATTCTTGCAATAAAAGAAGCAATCGTTGTGATTTCATTCCATTTCTCCTTTTATAAAGTCAATGCTTTATAAACCAGACTGATCACGATCGAGATGAATTGAATCGACACTTGGGTCACATTTTTATAAGCAACTCCTCTCCAATACTTTTACAGGAATGTAAAGAGGCAACAAATAGGACAAATTTTGAGATTAGTGGTTGAAGGGTTTATATACAGACAATTAGAAATGACGTATGATAACCTATTTATTTAGAGCTGCTGGAATCTAGCACTAGTTGGGTGTAGAAAATTGGAGACTGTAGGTATAAATGCATTCAAAAAAAGCGGAATTTTGAAAGACTAGTTACCGGGTTCGTACAAATTTTTGAATGCAAAATGGAATACATTTCCAGAATTTTTCCAAAAGATGGATTTCTCTTTCCAGACTCACAGTTATCAAGTAAGCGATTCAAGGAAACCTATACCATGCAGGAACCAAACTTTTCAGACCATTCACTACAACTGTAAAAAGCGTACATCAGTGAAAAGTCTCTGGCATCCAGAGAAGGCCTCCCCCTATATTTTGTTACCCTGACAACCGCGGTTTTTGTCCTGCTCAATTAATTACTCATAAATCTTTATCTGCTCAGCAGAGTCTTGAATACGGTGAGCAGGAACACCACAGTGATTAGGTCGAAAACGGGTGATGGTTTATACACTCCAATTAATGCAGAGAAACTGAGCTCAATGAAAATTTACTAAAACCTTAGCTTAACTCCTCAATACATAAAATGTCAATAATATTAACATAGAGTCCATGAGGTGTGACAACAACAGTGTTCACAGACGAATTTTAGGCTCAAAGATTCGGAAGCTTGTCCACCGGTGTAACAAATTTAAAGTCGCTTGGAAAGAGTTCAGCTGCTCGGAGATATATGAGTCTGTAGGACTGACGAATCGTCACATCGGCTACACCAGCAATATCACCGATTTCTATCAAACAAAAACAAAGCAGACATGCATTCGGTTACAAACTGACCGGTGTAGCTAAGTAACAAAGTAACAAAGTAAAAGTACTCTTTTTCCGGAGAAGAGGCAAAAAAGAGATGCTCTTTCTCAGGAGTTATATTACTGTGTGAGCTATGTGGGTTTAGGGGAGCACTCCCACCCCATTATATTGGAACAAAACCGAGGTGCCGAGGAAATGATTTTTTTCGACAGCGCCGTTGTTCCCCCTCCCCCTCCCCCTAAGAGAGCGGTCCCCCTTCTCTCAAGGTCTGGGTCCTACACCGCAGCAATGGAGGATCATGGGACATCACGTAAAGTATGCCTCCCCAGGCCTTAAGTGAAAACGTTTTAGCTGGAACTAGAAAGAAACACCCTCCAGGCCTCCTTGTTTCGATCTGAGGTCAGGATAAGTCGAGGACCGGGGACTCCTACACTAGAGACCTTTAGATTCGCGGACGAGAACGACTACCAGGACGAGATGTGACGCGTATTCTTAAAAGAGAGACACACTGGAAAGCTTCATTGCACTTTTTTGTACACAGTTATCTGTATTGACGGGGGTTAAAGCCTCTTCGGATCGAAAAATCATAAAGTTCTAACATTTGATAACCTGTTTCCGTAACTACTTCTCGTTAAAACTCGTAGTAGAATATAAATGACGACCACTTTCATCTTTTCCCGCCAAAATGACGATGGTTCACAAGCGCGCACTAATTAGTATAGAAAAAAAATCGTTCTCAAAGTCGTCCTTGTCTTAGAATCCGAAGGTCTCTACTAGACATCCGCCACTAAACAGTATATGAGCTACAGGAAAGTTGACTTTGTTTCTGAGGCATAAAGCATCACAGAGTATTGCTATAATCTCCTGGTCGCGATGTTGGTCTATTAGAGAAATGCCCACCCATTCAAACATCTATAGACAGTGGGAGATAGCTAACCACATTTACAGTTTACGAAACACAGAGAAACATCCAGTGGCGTTTTGTTGCCTTAAGAAATAGTAGTATAATCTGGCATAACTTTATTATTCAACGTCTCAAAGCTTCGAGCTTAGTAATAAGTGCTTTGCTAATACGGCAGGCTAAACTGCAGTAAGAAAAAGCGCACAACAAAGTTGACCTCACGTCTAAAAGGCAAAAGCTCGAACTTCTAACATTCAGACCAGCTAATCAAACGTATTACATTCTCTGCGACCAAATGATTGTAAATTATACCATATCTTCTTTTCTTTAGAAAAACGTACACACAAAGTCTGTGGTAGAATTTACATTACCAATATTTAATATTAGTGTTTCAGAACGCAATGCAAAACCCAATTTAGGCAGTGTTCACATTCTACCGGATTACTTTTGCGCCGGCAGGAACACCCTGTCGGATAGGGCTTCTGCTCTGCTTCACACATAAGAACGGTGACCTGCGCAGCGCCGATCTCTTTTGAAAGTCGCATGATATCGTATAGGTGTTCATACTATACCAGCACAAAAAGCTATCCAGCGATATACAGTTAAACTTCTATTAAGCGGACCCCCAATTAAGCTAGTCTCGCTCGCTCTACTATCCCTGAGGAAAAATGGGGGACTACTCGTAGTCTACAATTAAGCGGACACCCTCTATTAATCGGACACTAAGCCGGGTCCCGAAATTAACGTCTCATATTTCCCTTTATAACGAACCCCTAATCAGCAGACACCTCTATTAAGCGGACACCGGACTGAATTGGCAATAGTAGTATTGGATTACGTCCTTGAAATACGGACTGAAGTCAGTTAAAGTTTTTTCAGTTACAAACAAATTAAATTTCGTAATGAAAGGTAATGAGCTTGAACTCTGGGTAGCTTCTTTAACAACATGCAACTTTATCACAGTACAGAGTAACCGTTGAAAGTTGATCGTTAACAAACATTGCGCAATTTTTACAACCTCTATTAAGCGGACACTTGGGAAGGTCCCGAAGGTGTCCGCTTAATAGAAGTTTCACTGTAGTGTGAACATACTAATGGGAGGGATTTGTAAACAAAAACAAATAATGGTATATCATATACCTTTCTGTGATCTTTTCTCATCTGACGCTTGGGATGCCATGTAAATGGCTGCAGCCGCAACTGAAATTGGACTCCGTCTGAAAGAAGAGGAAAAAGAGATCACGGTAGGTACCGCGCAACATTTTGCCAAGCATTTATTTGTTGGGCGAATATGGACAGAAATTTGGCTCCGGACCATCACTTGACCTGATTCTTTCTTTTGAACGGTTTCGTGGCTTGTTTTTGAAGGGCGAGAGAATTAGACTTACCCAGGAACTAAATCTAAATCAACCGCTTTACGGGCGATATGTGTAGCTGCCTTCTGTACTTCCGCTCGGAGGCCAAGATTGGAACAAAATCTTGACTGAAAGAGAGAAAGGAAACATCACAAGGTTCCACTTTTCATCACGTAAACATGACATCTTGTAGTCAGCCTATTCTTACTATTCATTTCTACGTTACAATTTCTCCCACTCTAGAACACAAACAAGATAACAAGAAACAAACTGAACTTGGGACGAAAACTGGGGTAAGCAGCACTATTAAAAGACCTCCTCAAGCATCTACTTCTTTTCCAGAATGCATGATGATATTAAACGCACAGTTTTGATGCATTTTTTTATATATTCTCCTCGATAAAAAGGTCGCATTAATACTGTCTGCCCTATTTTTAATCACCCACACCATGCTCACACCGTAAACTGGACGTTCTCAAAAGTTTCCCCATTTTAAAATTTCTTCTTTTGAAAGTCATGATCAGGGTTTTTTACAGTCTTTTATTACCAACAAAGATAGGAGAAGAAATTCTAGCGAAAATTCGAGAAAAAGTACTGGTAAGATGCCCTAAAATTTCAAGCCTTCTTGGCTCTTAGTTTTATTGAGAGTTACTAAATAAAAAGTGAAACTTATCTCACTGACCATAAAATCTGTTGTTGTAATAAGGTGAACGCTTGTTTCCAGGGCCTTTAATATTAACTTGAAACAACGACCTATTTCTTTCTTGGAGATTTTGCTAATTGCACAAATTTCTGTGGACAAGAAGTTTCACACGTTAATTGCTATAAAGGGCGGAGGGAGGAAGTCTCGTTACTTTGGCCACATATAAAATAGCCTGTGCTAGGCTCTCAGATAGTATAGTGCGGACGTATTAAAACCAGCAAAGCCAAAATAAGACGCGTGCGACTTGGGAAAGGGGGCGGTGGCGGCGAGAAAAATGGGAGCCCTGTCTCTCCTCATCCCCCGCGCGTTTTTCGCATTTCTTTTTACTGAACGACTTTTCACCACTATCTCGGAGCCTGGAACAGGCTACATATATAAGAAAAAAAGATGGTGTACAGAGGTAATTAGATACTGAAAATAAAAATAGAAAGGAAAAGGATAAAGAAGAACAGGAACAAAATGAAAGGAGAAAATCGAGGACTGGTTTAAGATGAACCATAATAAATGAACAAGGATAGGTAAGATCACTTTAGGTGGAGATAAATTAAAGCAGACCTGCATTGATTGGATCATGGCACCTATTAAATGATGGTGATATTTTTTGTCAACTCAATTAAAATACAGAGATGTAGCCATTATATGAAAATATTCTGCACTGTTTCACTTGGGTGATGGAGCCATCTGCAACACCCAAAAAACTTATAATAGCAATAAGTTCTTTCTTTATTTATAAGGTTTTTTTAATGTTACAGATGGTTCTATTGCCAACTAACTTCTTTCGTTTAAGCATTTTCTAAAAAATACAAAACGTTCAAAAAGTTTGACTTACTTATGAAATGGCAAAGACGGGCTGAAAGTTACGTTGTTTTAAGAGACATTATGAAGATCATACCTTTAAACGTCCTAGGTACACCCTCCTGTCTACAGGCAATGTACAAACAAGCAGATGCAATGGCATCATTACTTCTTCCTTTTAAACTCTTTTGTTCATGAACTTGTTTAAAAAGTTCATTTGCACGGTCCTGAGAAAGAAGAAGGCACCCACTGAATCACTACATAAAATATTAACTTGGTATCCTTATAGCATATTAACCCACTTCTAGGGAGCATGTTTCCTTTGGATTATACAGATCAGGAATTACCATCCAAGATCACTCAGGCCGTTGTGTACCAAAGGAACTGACAATTCCTTGTCCAAATGGGATGTAGCAGTTCCTTTGATGCATCATGGCCAATCTGAGTAATCTTCGGTCATAAAATTAATCCCGATCATCCCAGAGGAACTACATCTAACATGTCTTAAACCAGCTCTGTTCTGCTGCATTTTTCTTATAACCAACACTTGTGGAATATAGGTTATGGCATTTTGTAACAACTTCAGCATTTTGTAAATTAACTATTGTATTCTATGATGTCAAGATTACTTACCTGAATTTTTCTGGGAAGATTTATCCTATCAGCCATAACACCAATTTCCCTGAAAGCATTCATGAGACTCCTGTCTGAGCCAGTTAACTGCAAAATAAATAAACTGGTTAACATAATATTAACCTTATAAAATGAAGAGACTTCAAAGGACAATCTAAAGGTTTTGGTGATGTAGTGGCAAAGTGCTTTGTTTTTTGTGACCAACAGTGATAATATTGATGGTACTGATGAATAATGTGCAGAAATTATAATGGTTGTGTTGTCCTATCTGAGATTGTATGTCCTAGATCCATGGTAAATGATAACTAACTGCAAATTAATGTACTTATGAAAGTTAAGTAGAGACTCAAGTTGTTATTAGTTAAACATACCCCTCCTCGATTGTGGTATTTTGAGTAGCCCTCTCCTGAACTATTCCACTGTGGTACTCTCTCAATCATTGTTGACAGGTCACCTCCACTCAGTAATGGGTTCTGAAGTAAAAGATTAACCACATATAAAAAACAACTGTCACAGCAAATATATTGGACAGTATAGCTTTAGAACCTAGAGCTAAAGTTAAGGTTATGTAGCTCTTAAATTTACAAGCTTTATTTTAATATAAATCATGTATACAAATTAGACAGGAAGCTTAACGGTAAAAAGAACGAGAACACTGGTATTCACAATGCATTGTGTGCTCAGTTTGAAAGAAGTGCTTTTTAAAGTGTACAATAGGATTCAAATGGATAACATGAAGTGGTTATTTTAAACTGTTACAAGCTGCAATGACAAGTAGGTATATTACTGGCTCTAATTTAGTTTCAGGTTTAATTCTGATTTAAGTTGATTCTTGATCATTAATTAATTCATTGCCTCCTGTCCCTATCTAGGAGCTAACTATGGAAATTGAGAATTAACCTACTATTGGTGACAAATTTAGTTTAGACACTTTGCCCTATAAGGTCTCTCTAATGTTAGCTTCTCCTTCCCCACCCCCTCCATGCAATGTTGTGTTGCTGTTTAAGCTACCTGTAGAAAACAATGAATAGAGGAGAGAGGGGAGGGGTGTGGATTGTTTTGTTCACCAAAGTTACCCATTTGAGGTCTGAACAATTTTCTCACCAACTGTAAGTTAAACCAGAGTCGTTTAACCTAACAGCTATCCTTACCTGGGCAGCTCCTACACGGGATGGGTCACTGGTGGACTTCTCATTACTAAATGTACGCCATTCTGAACCTACATCTACAACTCTACAAAATGCACAGGGAAAACACAAACTTTAATGTGTGGCTCCAAAAATTATCCATACCTCCCCCATGGGAGGGATGTTTTGTTAGACCCCCCCACCTCTCTGGAAATTCAAGTCAAGCTTCATACATTTACTTAACTTTTTGGGCCTTTGAAAACCCCCCACCCCCCAGGAATTTCCAGTCCCTTCTGTGGGGGAAGTATGGATGTTTTCTGGATCTACACAATCCACAATTACATAGAAATATTCTCAAATCCACAAATTCAACTCTGTTTGTCTGGAACAGGTCCACAGTCTCAAAGACCTGTTGTCCATGGGGTATAGCTGTGGTCAGTATACAGCTAAAAATATGCTGCTTAGACAGAAAACAGCTATAAAAACACTAGTTAGTCAGTAAGCAGCAAAAAAAGTTTAGTTATTTAGTTGGCATGGTTGTGAGTCCTGCAGATGGCAAAATCGTTTGTAGGGTGGTGTTTCCAAATCAAACACTCCCTTAAGACTCCCAAGTTCTCTCCCACTTTTCCAGTACTGTACTGCAAAATATTCTTGAACACTTCATCAAATAAGTCTGAAGAGAATCTTTCTTACAAATTCTGCCTTACTGACACCCTGATTTGTCTTCCATGGTTAAACCTGGAAGGCAGCACAGCTACAGTTTCCGATTCATCCTCTTTCAGTGAATAAAATTCTTGAACAAAAGTACTCAATGACATCTGAATTTCTTTACTCAGTCATTGTGCCGCTTATCATAACTATAACAAAATTCTCTAATCTAATTAGCTATTGGCAGCCCTGTTTTCAGCATTAATAGGACAATGTAATAGGAAATTATGTCTCATGTGTAAGTAATTGGACATTAGGAGCCATTGCACAGGCACTCTTAAATGGGTTCAAAGAAAGGAAAAGGAATCGGTAATAAAACTTCTTGTCTAATTGACAATCTGTAACTACACTTGCCAACTATACATGTGAAGCAGAAAAAATAACCATTTATCACGGTTTTAACTTGACTTTTAATTCTTGGTAAAATCCAAGATGGCAGCCAAGATGGTGACCATTGTTGGTGATGTCATAGGCCTCCAGCAGTGCCACCACCCATAAAATATACCTCATCTTGTTGAGTAAATCAAAGGCTTTCCAATGAAGGTAAAATCATTTTGAAATACTGCAACATATCTACATCTGCGGGGAGGGGTTTCATCAACCCCCCCCCCCCCACCCCTTTACCAAGGTGGGGGAATGAATTTGGGTTTATGTCCGAAAGTTAATATTTTGTTATTTATAGGCCTATGGCAGTGAAAAAAGGCCTTTATTCATTATGCAATAAACCCCATTGGCAGTTGACCCTCATTTATGGGAACTTCCCCCCCCCCCTGGGGGGTCCCCCACAGGTTTTGGTGGCTTGCATCATTATGAGGCCGTGGTACTACTCAGTTGTAGTTTGCTAGTTACTATCAAAATCCTGACCAAAGCCACAAATATTTTGTTCCATTCTTAATGAAATGCCTTCATTAACGCGAATATATTCTCTTGCGCTAAATATAGGGATTGCTTGGGATTGCTCATTAAAAATTTATGACGTCAGCACATCCTGTAATTTTGCAGGTAAACTGAGTTTAGTATAATTTACAGGCCGGTTTCAGCTGATCCTGCCGGCAGAGAACTAATCGATAGTATCTTCAGCTAGCTACAATCCTCAGTCACGTACAACACAAGGAAAGGAACTCAAAACTTATTGTTCTTTAAAACTACCTTTCTGCGATCAGGAAATAGATAAAAACTATGCCACCTTCATGTAAGCATTTTCGTAAGCTTAATGGTTCGAACGGATCTGAAATTGAATTTCTACACGATTTTTCTGTGACTGTTTTCAGAAAGCTTTGTCGGAGTAATTCAGATAATTTTAAAGAAGAATGAAAAATTCTTCTAGGGTTCTACCTATCTCCAACGACAAGACCACACTCAGAGCAGATCATATCTCCAGCGCGATAGTCTTCAATCAATGGCGCCTCGGGATGATGGACACATTTTATTGTTTGCGAGCTGCAATCGAAGTAAAAACAACGAATAAGTAAGTCAGGACATCTTGACAGAATGTTTTGTCATAAGGGATTCAAGAGGAGCATCGTTAACGTTACAAAAAATAAAGAAACGACTTACCCACTCGCCATCTAACTGCAGTTGTTACTCGTGTCAACTCTCGACTCCAACAAAAATGCTGGGCTACCGCCCTTTATAACTTTTACGGCTAAACCGGAAGTGACGTACAGTCTGAAAAAAGATGTTTCGTCTGTAATCCCCCCAAAGCAAGGTTGTTGTTTACGCGTCGCTTGATTTTTGAATTCCTCCTTTCAGTTTTTTCTCCATTTTGTCATGGCTGGAAATCGCTTATCCAATGTAACAGCGGATCAAGTTAAAGGTAATTCGTACGATTGTTGTTGAGAAACTTGTTTAATTAGATTGGCTTAGTGCTAATACGCGATTTTCCGGTTACTCTTCCGGCGACATACGTATATAAATATCACTTACTTTGATCGACCTTCAGAGGAAAACAGGAATTGTTCAAACACATCAGGTGAAATCTTCGGATAAAAATGGACTGGACAAGCTCGAGAGGAACTTGTAAAAACACGTAAACTCTAGGAATTAGCGAACAGCCCCCTTGTTTTCATTTGGGAAACGCGGCGTCGTTTAATGAAGAAATACTTTTTCGATCATTAAAAGCTCTGTTATTTCAAATATTTACTATACTCAGTGTTTTTACGGCCAGTATTGTGTTAGATCTTTATGCAAATGAGTGAAAAATAGAGTGGACGAAAAATGTTTGTCACAAGGGGTAGAGTAAGAGAAGCACTGGGCCGCACTGGGGTGAGGTTGGGTGCGTGATCCCGGAATCCGCGATTTGGCAAATATACAGTGCAGGATTGGGGAAAGGTTATCGGGACAAGGGATTTGCCAAATTTGCGCACGGATGCAGCATTGGGGAAGAAAATGGTTTAGCCTTGACAGAAGCTCGGGATGCAAGATTCCCCTGAAAAAGGAGCAGGAATGTGGGATCACGGGCTGTTATCAGCTGGTGCTGAGAAATTTCACAATAAAAAAAAATCTTTCTAACGCTGGCAAATACTTCAGTAAAAATTCTATGTACTTATTAATGCCCCCTTTGAAGGAAACATTTTTGAAAGCTCCCTCCCTCTCTTACATTTCCCACCCACAAATTTCAAACACCCAAACTATCAGGGGGCCACAATTTGCGCATGTCTATTAAATCTTCTCTATCTACTCCCCCATTTCCTATCACACCTCAAAGTTCTTGAACTACCCATTGGTGTCATGGGTGTGGCAATAAAATAGATGCAGTATGGTACAGTGTTCAAGATTAAAAAGTACAAGTTTTAGGCGATTGATTTGGATACTGCAAGGGTAAGCAAATATGAGCTGCAGTAGCAGGTATACTTATTAATTTTGTCAAAAGCAGTTTTATTTAAGTCAAGGATAGGGTATAAGAAATAGCAAGTTCTACTCTAGAATAGAGCGTTGTCTGAGCATACATTGGAAGCCTGATATAATGAACCACTATAAAATTATATCAAACTCTTGGTATGACAGATGATTTTCTTTTCCCAAGTAATAGCAAAATATGTGAAAAAGAACCTTGTTACAAAAAATAAATGTTGACCGTTCATTATATCAAGGTTCCACTGTACCACTAAGCTTCACATGAAGGCAAAGACAATCTCTTTGTGGATTTCAATACGAGCTGTATGTCCTGCATAAAATCAACAAGTCTTGTGTAAAGGTTTATCTAATAATATTATTAGATTAGTCCTATGTATTCTTATAATGTATCATAATTAAATCTTAGCTGCCATGAGAGATGTGTTGCTGGCATTTGAAAGGCCAGAGCATCAGACAAGAATGCTGGAAATAGAACAGGAGGCAGGGAGTGACTTGGTAAAGCTTCTTCAAGATCGGCTTCCATTTGCCGCTGACATCCAGCAAGAAGTTATTAAAAGCCATGGCTTTTCAGATGATGGAGCAGGTATTCCTACTCAAGTGATATATCAATCGAACTAAATTAAAAGTAAGATGCATGGACTATACATATTTGACAAAGTTGGTGTCACTTCTTATAATATCATAAATATTCTTGAAGACTATTATGCTAGTTTTTGTGAATATTTGGCAAAGAACATTTCACTGAAATTATATCAGTCTTGAAATTATTAAGATGTAAAAAATCTTCTGGGAGGTAAAGATTATGCAAAGGAAGGTCCTGATACTGTAGCTATCAAATCTACAAACTCAGATAATTCCCTAAAATACTGATGGCATGAAGCTGTTAACTTTAAACTACCCACAATACCTTTCAGGGATGTTGCGTGCAGTTTTACTCTTTTTTTTGACGACCTTTAATTCTCGAAATGGCTCTTGATTTTAATCAATGGTGGTAATGAGAACAGTAAGTTATTCCAACCATTTATTTTGAACTGCTTATTTTTTTTTTATAGGTTCTCTTACTTTCACTCATGCCATCAAATTGTTTGAGAAAGATGATGAAGAAATAGCTAGAATGGCAGAAGATCTAAAGTCACGATTCATTCCTCTCTTACCTCGTCCACCACTGTTTGTTCCTAGAGATGTCACATGATCTTTCTTACCTGACCTGATTTTTCTACATTTTTTAATGTATAATTGTCACGTAGAGTTGATGAGTGAATACTTTTACAAAGTGAACTACATAATTAATGTAACGTGTATTTGTAAGTGTATTTCTTTGTACATATCATATTTTAGATTAGAAATCTTGATGTTGTAAATAGTTTTGAAAATTTCAGCTGCACTTATGCATCTATCTTACTTTACTGTTGAATACTAGTACTCAATAAAAAAAACTTCAAAAACTAAATATAAGAACAGCATGATAGTGGCAAAATGGGGAAAATCATATGTACAAGCCTGAATCTTTTCTGGCTTTCTTTTTGCACCAGCAAAAGTTGGGTCAAACGGCAGTAATATGATCTTCTTTACATTTAATGAATGGTGTGCATGGGTGAGGAGGCATAAGGCATGAGAGTATCAAAACATATGAGAAAATGATAGTCTCCGCTCCCAGGCCACGTTGATGTTCTTAGGGCTTATTGTCACTCATTCCTTTCCCACGAAAACTTGTTGGGGAAGGACTGGATGACGAGCCAAAAGAACATCTGCGTGGGAGGGTAGAGGCAATGAGTGTTATGCAGACTATTGAGAATGGAATGAACCAACCAGATGCTCGTGTTAACATGACCTCCACAGGACACGATTATCCCTCTCTGTTTCTTTGACCACAGAAACAGAGACCAAATGGTTTCCCCTCAATGAAAAAGAACATTTTTAATAGGGATGAGGGGTAGGAGACACTTGTGGTCCAGTTTATTTATCTGTTGCATGGTGACCTGTGGAATGTGACAGGTAAAAAAACCCATTGCCCTTAGTAACAAGGGTGTCTGACTGTGATAATTAATTGTTAAAAGGTCACAAGTTAGATACCAGTAAATTGAGATTCCAAATTTTTTCATTGCCCCACACTTTTTTTTTAAATTGTTAAAGCAAGTTATAATTAACACAGAATAACACATTATTATCTGGGCTGGAAATAGCCTTTCAAAGAACAGTCAGGCAGCAATGCATTTCCTATTGTTGCCACAAGAAGGTCAAATTACAGAGTTCTTTGGGCTACTGTGTATCTCCTAAATAAAATCTAGAGTTTGCCCTTCTATATATTGAGCTAAACTCTTAAAACAATGAACCAATAATCTACTGTTATATTATACAATAAAAGTACGGAATATAAAATTAAAAACTGAGGATGAAGCTGTGCAGTTACAGTGTTTACTGCAGTGAATTTTTCTTGTGGTGTCATATTTTCATCAAATCTTATTTTAATATTCAAAAATTTCTTCATAAATAGCAAATTCACATACTCTTACCCTATAGAAGAACTTGATATTGTACTGAAAAAATGACACTAAATAAATACCTTATTTTATGGCATACTGCCATTCAGTACATAAACCTGCAACAAATAATTAAGGCTATTGAAACATGTTTCTTTAAAGTTTCCTGCCTTCTTAGATGATTCATTTAGTGAAAAAGTTGCTTTGTCTCAAGTTATTCTTTCTATTTACTTCTTAACGATTACTTTTAGGTAATGATAAGAACATCTTGCACATTTAGTTAGGTAGCTATTCACACATTTATTTTCATTAACCCATTCGCCCCTGAACCGCCCGTAACCGCCCGTGCGGATCCAGGTCCTTTCTACCCTTTGTGACGTCATCAGTTTTAACGGTCAAGGACAACTTTCTTCGCTAACTTGTGCAGAGTGAAGAGATCTTTCAAACCATACCAGAATGAGCACAATTCAGTCAAGGACACCGGAGAAAGAAGCAAAAAACCACGTGACAAGGACCTGAAAATCTCCATGAAAATCTTGTTCCATTACCCACCTACCTTTCCTTTCACCTAATCCTAAGATCCTAAAAGCTTTCCTAAAAACTCTTCCCACCAAAATGAAGCCTACTAAATGCCCAGCAAGAGAAAAAAAAAATGAGGCAAGAAAAGCGAAAAAAGAAGGGAGGAGAGAAAGCGAAAAGTAAAAGTCAAGACTGCTGTGTCACTTTTAAACCCAAAAACTATGTCGAAATCTTGCTTTCTGAGCATGCCCGAACTTTGCAAGCTGATATTTTGCATCTGGATCAGAAGGCCGCCAAGTGTACGACCTGTAAACCGGTTTGTGGTAAGTTTTAGCTCTTTATAGCACGACAGTGACCAGAAAACCACTCGACTAGCTTCAAAACGCGTTTTTCGGCAAAATCTCCAGGAGCGAATGGGTTAAAACAAAATTAGTGACTTAAATTTTCTTGGATCTGCTCTTATGAATATATATATATATATAATAAACTGTAGCCATATTTCCAGATTTAACTATCTAGTGTAGTATTATAAATTTTGCAAAAATTAAAGTCATTAATCACTGATTAATATTATTGATATTATTGGCTAACAATGATTCAGAAAATTATAATTCCGACCAGTGTTTATTACCTGTATGTGACGCTAAGTAAAAAACATCAAAATGAAAATAATTTTTATTGAATAATAATATTCATATCGTACAGTTAATATATTATTTAAATTCCTTCTGTGTAGCTATCTTCTTGATTCTGATGTAACTGCTGGCAATTCCTCCTCATGAATGTAACTTCTTATCATTGCCAGGCACTGTTCATACGTACAAAAAATAAGGGCTACAGACAAACCAGCCTGAAAAAATAAAGCAACTGACAATTATTAATGCTAGAGTATTCGGTATCCATAAATAAGATTAACTTGGTCATGTTTCGAATTAAAACATACAGCTGCTTGCACAACACTAGTGAAGCTGTAAACTATGCCTTGTTTACAATCTGCTTTTGTCATGGGTGAATCATTTTATTGTTTTCTCTATCACAAGACTGAAACCTCGCCTTTATTCTGGATAAACAGTTATGGATTCCTAATACTCAATTCTTGCAGGAAACTAGAAAAACCACAACCCGGGGAACCTTCATTAGATTTTTAACTATGTCACTCTGTATCTCAACCGAGGTGGTGTGAGTCCTGGAAAGGCCTGAAAGTCATAGAGTTTTGTGTTTAACTACATAACTAGATAAGATTCATGGCCAGGACGACAGAATGGTATCACTGCATTTCTCATTTTCTACTTACTCTTCAAGCCCAGCCCTTCCCCACTTATAGCGCTCTCATAATAAATAAGTGGGTGTGTCTCTCTGGAACCCCTTACTATGTTAGCCTTCACCAGACCTTGTAAAGCTGAATTTTGCAGCCCTATTTAAGACCAGGTACCAAAAAGTGCTACCCTAAAATAGACTTAAACTATTCATTTCTTCATACCACTCATACATGTAAAATAAACAGACATAGGTCATACATGGTATGAAGAAACACCCCATTCTAAGACAAAAACGCTGAACCACAACAAAAACTACTGGACTTTCCAGTAATTGTGTTATCCAATAAAGTCCTTATTATTATTATTATTACTATTATTATTACTATTATTATTATTATTATTATTATTATTATTATTATTGTTATTATCAGGTCAACTTCACGTGCCTTTTTGCCTTTTTCTTAACTCATTCTGCTATGGTTTGAAAGTTTTCTTCCTGGACTTAGAAGACAAAGTTGTCCTTAACTGGATCTTCAAGAGCAGTTCATTCAGGGCAGCAAATTCTCATCCTTTGCCTCTACCTGGTTTTCAAGCTTATGATTACATCAGCCAAGGCATTGTCCCAACAAAATTCAGGGGATTAAGAATGATACCTTAAGTGTGCTGGGAGCAAGTCCTTTAAAGAAGCCAGTGGCTCCCTCTTCCTTTGCAATAACCTTGAAGCAGTCAATCATACCACTGTAAGACTGAACTCTTCCAAAACTCTTTCTAGCTTGATGAAAGCCTTGCACCTTTAAAAAATGGGGAGCACCAATAATTGATCATCACTACATTTTTAATGTATGGCACTGTAGCTATGACAGTCAGGAAAAGAATTATCAAATGAATGGTTCACATGCATCACTATGGGTTTATTCTGTCTCTTAACCTGATCTGATCCCTGATTACCTTGTAGTGAAAGTGATGAAACTCATTTCTGAAGCTGTTCACCGAAAAATGATAATGAAACAAGAATTTGGAGGATCAGTGGGTATATACAGTGTGTCTATCCCCATAATTAGTACAGGGTTTGTAGCCTTCAAGGACTCCATTCCACAACATGAGCAATTTTATCCTGAACGTCTTTCTGTGTTTGCTCCTTTTCTTTTGGGTTGGATAAAGTTAGCCGCACAGAAATTCAAGGACTTTCCACCACCGACTGCAATTTTCAAGGACTTTCAAGGCCTTGAATTTTAACTTCAAAATTCAAGGACTTTCAAGGACTTTCAAGGTGCATGTGAACCCAGTCACCCTGATGAAGAAAATTTGTGTAAGAGTCTAGGCCTAAAAAATTATTTGTTGGAGATATTTCCTTTAGCTTTTGCTTAAACAGTCATAATTTATTGTAAGGAGAAATTGGATACTAATAAGATATTAATAAAAAGATTATTTAAGCACGGTTTCCAAAATTATCCGGCTTCTGGCAAAAATCACCACCAACTTTGAGTTTTGGACTTACTACTCTGCTGGGGCATTCCTCTGAGTTTTTATTATTAACACGTGACAAAAGTAGCAGCAATTAACCTTCTTCAGTAATATAAAAGCTGACCATTCATTCTTTTTGACAATTAATTAGGCTCACACATAGTTTTTTAAAAAACTAAAACACAGTAGAACCTCCCATAAGTGACCACACAAAATGCAGCGATTAAGTGGTGCTTACAAGAATCAAACTGAAAGGTGTTTTTTCTAAGAAAGGGTCCATGACACATTCCCTTATTGGAAGAGAATAAGTTACACGCAATTTGTAAGTTACTTGTAAGTGTAGTTCCATGTTGTCACTCAGTTTTTCATATTCTCCAAGTGGTGTAGTATAAAAACTAAGCGAACAAAGGGATCGCACCATGCATCAAGTGGTCGCTTACAAGCGCAGTTTGGGAGCATTAGCTCTCCGGGGCGCTCTGGCAGCAGAGCGGGAAAAGGAAAGAGAGCTTGCAACTATATCTCTGGAATTTGAATTCCACCTTCAATTCCCCTGTGGCTGCCCATCGACTGAGCTGTCAAATTTCCACCAATCAGCGTAATGCGGAAATGAGTGCGAATGTAAACAAACATGGAAAAACATGTGCCAAGGGTAATGACGTCATTACTAATGTCATCTTGGCCAATCAGCATTTCGCATCGACTTTTTTGATGCAGATATTCAAATTCCAGAGACATAGTTGCAAGCTCTCCTTCCTTTTCCAGCCCCGCCACCAGATCAAGTGCCCAGGAGAGGTTGCTCGCAGGCTATTACAAGCGTTTAAAATCAGTGTAAAACTGTAAAGCTGTCAGGCCAAAAAGTGGTTGTTTACCCCATGTTCCCATTGTAGGGCTTTGAGTGGGAAACGTTTGGTGTTTTGCATATAGGTGCTGGCTTATAGGAGGTGGTCGCTTACGAGAGATGGTCACTCAGTTGGTGGACAAACGACTGACCCCAGGTCCATGTACTATCCCCATAGACCACCCATATCAATTACCCTAAAATAAAGTATGCTGCTGAAGTTAAAGTGCCCATCACCTAAAATTTTATATTTTCTTATCTGAAACTATACCTTATTTAAATAACTTCTGCAAAAAAATTTTGCCATTTCAACAAAACGTGATTTTTTTACCAATTTTTGAAGTGCACATTTTTGCGGTACACCCGCGCCACTGATCACGCAAACTAGCAGGCTCATATATTATGTCATGTGACCTAAATTAAGGAACTCACATTACCTTTCCTTCACCAGCTGTACACAAAAAAGATCAATTACAAGTAAGGATTCAATCACAATGTCTTCGCAAGAAGAAAGTTTTTCTGAAATAGAAAAACCTACCAGAACTTTTAATGTTTTCCTGTCGTTAAAGTCACGTGTTCCTTAAAGTACGTCATACCCCGAAAGAAGACTAAGACGAATTGTGTGCCAAAATTGAGGCAAATTTGAATGTTTTTAAAAAATTCTAAAAAAAATCGTCTTTGGTTCAAATTGCAAAATTTTTTTGCAGAAGTTATTTTAATAAGGTGTAGTTTCAGATAAGAAAAACATAAAAAATTTTAGGTGATAGGCACTTTAAGTGATTAGGGTAAGGCGTGAATCAGGTCCCATTCAGGCTCATTATACTGGGAAAACTGACCTGAAACTTGATTCATCTATTTTCCCATCCCTAATCACTCAACATCAGAGGCATAGTCCATTTTAGGGTAATCCATATGGGTAGTCCATTGGATAGTGAATGGACTGGGGGGGTCAGTGTTTTGTCCATCACAGGTCGCTCGTGGAGGTTCAACTGTGCAGATGACCTACATCGATCATGGCAGTTATAAGCTAACACACCTGCAGTCTCTTTTTGACCATGTCAAGAGGATAAATAACTGCTTTACCACATATTCCTGATAATCCACCACAAACAAGGCTCTCCTTGACACCAGCTGCTTCACCAGGACCTCTCTGTAAATAATTGTGCTGACATCAGACATAATGAACTTATAAAAACTTTATGACAAGTGTCAAACAAAGCCCTTGGGGAACTTACCTTTTTAGCAACAATCATTTATTAGTTTTTAACCATTAAACTCTCTGAGTGGAAGAAAGAACAAACCATGCAAGCATTCGAGAAATTCTCACAAAAGACTGTATCCTTACATGTCTAAGGCATCAAAACCCTCTGTTGCTAGTTTAAGAATTTTACACGAATTTCCTCGAGAAGAATAATTATTAATTTTGAGCACAGAACATTTGTGTTGGAAGAAAAATTAGCCAATTAGGTGTGAGAAAACTAAATGCAAATTGCATACAGCAGTGGTTATTAGTACAACGTATTTAGTTTCGTGGTTTCCATCACTTCCATGTCTTTAACTTTATTCTGATTGGCCAGTAAACAAATCAACATTCCTGAAAATTTTCAGGTGTGGTCACTGTTTTTTAAGTTTAGCAAGTTTCTTAATTTTTATTATCCTGTTAACATTTTTTTTACATGGCTGCATAAGCTATATTAGCTTTTAAACCCACTGTGTTGAGTTTAATTTGAGGTTTTGATGTGTCTGATTATTACATATTTATAAATAAGTAAAAACATGTAAGTCAAGTAACAAATGCTGCAATGTCCGAGCTGAAAAGCTCAAGTGACTGCGACATGAGAAAATTACTAGGGTTTAATTTCTGACTATGACTATATTCATCAATGTACCTTGGAACTAAAAATGACTTCCCACAGAGTCTTGAAAAAGGTATAAAACCCAAACTGTAGACCAGCATGTGGAAAAATTTGAACTAGAGTTGGCACCAGCCCTACAGGATAAAAAAAGAAAGGAGGAATCATCAAATACAAAGTGTCTCAAAAGTGTTTGATATTACTGTCTAAAGTAGGTACATCCTTCAAGTGCCACCTACATTTCCTTTCATCTAATCCTATGATCCTAAAAGCTTTCCCCATAATCGTTTCTTACCAAAATGAAGCCTACTAAATGTCCAGCAAAAAGAAAAAAACAACAAGGCAGGAGAAGAAAAAGAAGAGGAGAGGAGAGAAAGCGAAAAAAAAAAAAAATGAAGACTGCTGCGTCACTTTTAAACCTAAAAACTAACTCGAAATTTTGCTTTCTGCACATACCTGAACTTTGGAAACTAATATTTTGCATCTCGATCAGAAGACCACAAAGGTACGACCTGTAAACTGCTTTGTGGTAAGTTCTATTTCTTTATAGCCAGACAGTGACCAAAACACCTTTTTTGGCAAAATTCCCAAAGGCAAATCTGTTAATTTGAGATTTTGGGGGGTTTCTCTGCAACTTTGAGCAATTTTTTGGGGTTTCAATTTAATAGGCACACTAGGGAGCACAACTGAAGAAATTAAAGGTAATTAAAACTAGACAAATTAATTTATAACCAATTAAAGGGAAAACAAACTGATTAAGGCCTTATTACCTCTGTAAAATGATCTGGGTCCCTCATTGCGATACATTTTGGAAGCGGCTTCATAAAGATTCTTGTACATCTAGAATGAAATACATTTTTTTTTAATTCACATTTTTATGAAAGAATAATAAAACGTTTTCAAAAGATTTGCATAGCAAAAGGATGTACCGGTATTCCAAAGACCTAAGAAGATGTGCAGCAATGCAGATCTAATTTTTGAGTCTATAAACAAAGTCATAATTCCTGACCATATGTGACCTATTACAGCTGCTTTAACAATGCCCTCTTTCATTCTCCATACAAACTCTACACCACAGTTTCAGGAGACAGGATTTGTCTAAGTATTCTTTTGATTTAAAGTAAGTATCTCTATTAAAAATGGTCTCAACAAAGGAAAATCCACTTAGTATACAGAACATAATGGTTTTTTTTAAAAATTTATATATTAGCGTACTTCTTCCTCAGCTACGTAAAACTAAACATTTAAATTTAAATTTTCCCCAATGATGTAATCTAAAAGTATATAGCGGATGGTTTTGAATATCCTTATCATTAAATCCCCTGAAGAGTGAGCGATCACGAAACAGGCTTGTCGGGATGAAAGTGTAGTTTTTTTCCTATTTCCTATATTTATATATTAGCAGTATTGATATGTAAAGGGCAATACAACAAACAAATAATTATGAGTATAATTAATGTATTTTACTGTATCTGTATTAACCTTGATTAGAGTGATTAGTGAAATAAGCTCTCATAAGAATGCACTCATACTCTATGCTGCTGGTGGCAGCTTACGTGGATTATTCCTGTAACACACCAGCCTCAGGTGCAGACACTTTTCCTGCTTCCCAAGGGTGTGAGTTAATCTGTGCAAACTTTGACTACTGACTCGTCCCCAGTCATCTCTTATCACTTGTAGGTGGTCATAGAATGGTCGTGGCCATGGGAGACTATAACAGCATCTTGGCAAAGCGGACAATGGGAAGGATAGAGGGAACAGGAAGAGACGTCATCTCCCCTTTTTCCTCCTTCCCATCCCCCCCCCCGCATATCTTCCACCTGCATCCCTCGTAAATATTTAATTAGGAGACAAGAGACGACTAGGGACGATCGAGTCAGCTTTGACTGTACATTTACCTTAGGCTCACCCTGAGCAACAAGCCTTGTTCGAATAACATCTACAGGTTGTGCAACTGTACTTGCAAGACATCCAGCAATTCCACCACAGACAAAGTGAGTTACTGTGTTTAAAAGAACAAACATGGAGATCCTTCAATATTAATGATCACAAGAAATTACAGATGCAAAACAAAATGATATTACTTTAACATATCATATGATTATAGGCATTTGTTTTACTGCCTCAATTTCACTGTTTCATTAAAAAGTTTTAAAAAGACTTGAAAAAATAGGAAGTGTCATGTGCATTCATTGGGGGCTAGTTATTTATTACCTGTGGGGGGGACGGGGGGGTAGTTATTTTGAGAAAGCTTAGAAGATTTTCAAAACAACCTCCAATTCATCCTAGCTACTCTTGATAAAATTGCATACTTGGAAAGCAATGCCCCTGCCCCTGGAAACAGTGTTCTTGTGTCTTCAAAAGAAAGTCTGATCTCTGAGCATTTGTAGGAAGCAACTTTGAACTTTGAGAAAGGTTAACTTTACACAAAACCATTGATTTGGAAAGAGTTTTGTGGCATAAGAGAGTGCGCATTGAGGAAAAAATGTTCTCAAGTAGTTTTGTCAGGGATTGTAGCTTTTTAAAAGTCACCCTCAATACATTTCAACTATTATGAAAGTGACCCATATCTGATTGCTGTGGGAATTACAAATATTCTAGCTACATATTGTGTACTCTGCAGAATAGGCATTATTTTTTTCGTGTTTTCCAAGGCAAGAGCTTGCCTCCTCTTACCTGAAAAACATTACAAGAAATAATAACACCTGTTCTGCAGGCTACAAATTGAGCAGAAGTTCAGCACATACTTTATCTAAGTCACCTTAATAAGATCGGAGATTACTATTTATGGCTATTGCATTCAATTTCAATTCACGCTGGTTACTACTTTGTACTACTTTGTGATTGAAATACTGCTCTAATGAGACCTTAAAAAGCTTGGGTTTTTCCAGGGTTGTCATTAAGAGCCGGGGGCTGGGGATTTTCCCCGGCTACTAAGAGAGTGGCCCCCGGCTACTTTTATTGGAAAATAGAAGAAAAATAGGACCAAAAGAAATCCCTAGCCATTTGATTCCCCGCCTACTTGTTGTATTTACCCGGCAACTTGAAATCTTAGTGGCAACCCTGTTTTTCTTAATAAAAATGAAATTAAAGCTTTTGTCAATCAATGGCATCACTGTACTGTGACAATATTATTAAAATGACCTCCCATGTAACACTCCCTTATCTGAAAATGACCCCCCAGAAAAATGGCCGGCCCTCTATCAGAGACAATAACCGACCAGCGCCTTACAGTTATGAGTAATAACCTGGCTTCCACTTTGGAGAGGTACAGGTGGGGTATGCTCTCCACATAACTTCTGTGACAGCTTCAAATACCATGAACTGAATCAAAGGCAAGACACAATCTTTTATTATAATTTAGAAGTCATACCAGTCAAGTGTCAAGCCAGCTAAGCGAACGTCCAATTGTTAAAATACAACACATGCAGCTATCATCAAGTACATTGAATGATCACGACATTACAAGACCTTTTGTGATTCTATTTTGTGAGTAACAAACACAATCAAACAAATAAACAACACAACAGAACCTATATGATTGGGAGTTCTCATAGTAATATACATATAACATTCTTTGCATGACACTACAACCAGGGTTCTTCAGATAATTTGGAGTAGAAGGAAAAACGGTAAGCAGCATCTGATTAGATTGAATGGCACATCTTTCATGTGGCACAGATGTGAGTAGGGGTAGGTATGAGGGGGGAGGGGGCACTGCCACCCTTTCACTGGGCGAGTCAGGGGCTTCCCATAGGAAAATCTAAATTTAGGGGTTAATGAAAATTGCATTTTGGGGCATTTTGAGTGATGAGAGAGAGAGAAATGTTTGCCATGAGGATGATAGCTTTATTTACCTGCATTTCCAAAGAGTGGAAAGATGAGATACACTAGGAATGAGGTTTGAGGTCTGGTTTGAGATAAACAAGATATCTTTGCTGATCATTCTCTTAATTCTCACAGCCTTATATTAAAAATGTATGATTAAGCAGGGATCGAAAAAAATTTTGAATTAAAGGTTGTTATTTGGGTAAGCAGAACTCATATTTTGCTTACCCAGGGCCGATTCGTGCTCGTCTGGTCTTAGTTAATGATTTTGTTGTAAGATGACTTGCTTACCCATTAGGCAAGTCAACTTTAACCCTTTAAGCCCCAGTATCCACATACAAATTCTCCAAACTGATCTATATACATTTCCTTAAAGAATAAGTAGAGAGAATTTGATAATAGATCAAGGCATTTTCTCTTGTGTGATCATTTTATTAATTCTCATAACTTATCTCTTGACAGTGTATGGATATTGTTTGGAGAAATTTGATCTTGGTCACTATTGGGACTTAAAGGGTTAAAAGGTACTTGCCCAGCAAGAAAATCCCATTATTTTGAATGTCATTATGCAGTTGGGATGCTTGTGCAAGAAAGGCCACATTGATAATAACATTAACACTTACTTGCACAGATCCATATATCACTGACAGAGCTTGAGCTGGTACATGACCTTTCCTGGTTAAACAAACAAAGTGCAGGGTTGTCATTAGGAGCCGGGGGCCGGGGATTTTCCCCGGCTACTAAGAGAGTGGCCCCCGGCTACTTTTATTGGAAAATAGGAGAAAAATAGAACCAAAAGAAATCCTTAGCCGTTTGATTCCCCGCCTACTTGTTGTGTTTACCCGGCAACTTGAAATCTTAGTGACAACCCTGAAAGTGCATTATTTTTTATGCAAACTAGTAAGTTAGCTGCCTAAAGCTCCAGCATAAAATAGGAAAGTTTCTTACAAAATAGATAATTTTATGTGTTGTATAAAAATATGCTCAAGTTGAACCAATTAACTTCAAACTTTTGTATATGCTGCTTTATATAACTTACCAAAGAGAAGCAAATCCTTCTTCCTTATAGACTAATCTTAATGCCTGCCATATTCCTGAGTATTTACCTCTTGAAATACCCTGCAAGAGACAGAGAAAAAAATCATGTTCTCTGGAAGATAATTTAAGAACAATTAAAAATACAATTTTTAAATTTACCAGTACTGCTATAAGCATTTTGTACATTAAATTGAGTTTTCAAAATCTAAACTAAAGCATCATTAATGTCACCAATTAGAGGTGCAAACAGTCTAATAAAATTAACTAGAACTCAAATAAAGCCAGTGAACAAGAGTGTAAAATTAATGTAGCTGTCATAAAGAGAAGAACTAGATTCATGTGAGTTTTTTTCTTTCTTTTAGGGTGACATTAAAAAGAGGTGTGAGAATTTCTTGTCTACAAATTACAAAGCATAGGCAAGGTCATGCATGCCAGAGTGGTTTTGACATCAATAGAAGCAATCCATAATTTATAATGAACATCATTCATGTCACATAAAAGAGTGTTGCGGTCAAAGCTGAATTTAATGCAACCAACAAATACCAAATGTATAATACTAATTTTACAATGATAGATAGACAAATAAAGAATTAAATGTGTAGAATGATTTATGGCCATTTTGCTGGCAAGCTATTTCTCCAACTTCAAGTTCCCCTATATTTTTGGTCTTTTCACCAATGTGATGTGCAGGCCAGACAACCTGTGAGCCACAGAATCATGCCTTGATTTTTGAAATGCTTACTAAGTACTTAAGTTCTGGTATACATGAGCAGGGGATCTCGGCAAGCTCTACTGAGCTTTTCAGAGGAGATTCCTGACTTCACTAAACCATTAAATTATTATCATACAATTGGTGCTTAATATTACAATATAAACTCTCTTATGAAATGATGTAACTCATCAATTTTTGGTATTTTTACTGTACTTTTTTACTGTACTGTTTTACTTTTTACTGTCAACAGGGCTGTCATTAAGAGGCAGGGGCCGGGGATTTCCCCCAGCTACTATGAATGTGGCCCCTGGCTACTTTCACAGGAAAACAGAAGAAAAATAGAACCAAAAGAAATCCCTAGCTGTTTGATTCCCTGCCTACTTGTTGTATTTACCCAGCAACTTGAAATCTTAGTGACTACCCTAACTGTATACATTTCTTAATCATCAAATATTTAAAGCGGCCATAAGATTTCTGATTTCTTAAGTTTTCAGGTAGATTTTTCCATCATGCATAGCGCAATACATATCTTATGTACACTATTGTTCCCGGACTTTTGATTTAAATCTGGCTCTCATTTCATCTCTTGATTTGGCTTTGAAAAAGTATGCATAAGTAATATATGGGGATTGTATTCACCATTTTCACATTAATAATACACCTTTTTCCCCAAAAGATTTTGAAAAGCATTGTTCTTTCTTTCTCAGGGGACGACTGTAATACCCAGGAGAAAACTGAAACAATGGTTGTACAATTTTTGATTATTATTTTATTTGCTTCTTTTGTTTTGTTTCGCTTTTTTTAAGGGGGGAGGGGGTATATTGGGCAAAGTCCTTCAAAAATCAGCAATCCATTGAATCTTAATTGACAACCAGTTAGGTCAGTTATAGGTGAGCTCTGTGTTAAATACCTTTGTTGTAGGTTCAATCTGTAACTGAAATCGTATTTTAAGAACATCGAGAGGCTGTACCACCACACGCGTTATTACACCAGATGAAGCTCCGCAAAAACCACATTGCAAAGAAGACAATTGCTCCTTATTTTTTGGATCAAAACCCACCATCTTTTCACTGAAGACATTTTTCACTCCCATTCACTTCCCAGGGGTAAAAAGTATATCTATGAACCGTACAATTTGATAGAATAACTATGTCATAGTGGCCAACTGCGGTGGCTCGCGCTGCTTCCGCCATCTTTAAGGCGAATTAAGAGAGGGAGAACTAAGTACTAGTGGTATTCCCGCGGGATCTTAAACTAGCCACGTGACTATTCTTTGTTTACCTGATTGGTGTAACGGCGGTAGAGTCACCGGATCACCTTTCGAATCAAAAGTATGCCATTTTTCGTGATCCGATATCTCGCTGTTTTACAACGATCGTTGAAATTTGATAAACTGTGGTATGCTAAATTGTATTTCGGACCTTGTTTGAAATGTAAAATATGTCTACTCCAACCAAAGCAAGGAGTAAGCGGGCACTTCCGAGTGTTCCTCTGGAAAGGGCTGCCAGCGTCGATCGCATAGTAACAGGGACGCTGAAATCTGCTCGAAGGAAAGTTGATGTTCAACTTGAACCTACAGGCGCTGATGTGACAAAATACAGAAGCCGTTCAACATCACAGCCGCAGCAAAAGAGTGCACTGAACATGAATTCGAAACTTCGATCAGAGCCGCTTTCTAGAAGGAAAGATCTGTCTTCAAGCGAGAGTGGTTCGGGCAATAGTTCACCTTATAACTCTCCTCGAGAAACAAGGAAAGCCGCTGTGGCACCGATGGTGGCACAAATCATTGATAAATTTAATAATGGCTCCCAAGAAACAAGGTCTGAGGAAAGACTCGAGGTTAAAGAAGAGTCCTTTGGCACAGAGAAGAAGATCGCGCGCGTTCTTCCAATGACACCGCATTTTCTAGATGAACATACAAATGAACAGCCGCCATCCACTAAACATAGTGATATCGATTCGATAGCTAATTTAAAAATCTNAATTGCTCCTTATTTTTTGGATCAAAACCCACCATCTTTTCACTGAAGACATTTTTCACTCCCATTCACTTCCCAGGGGTAAAAAGTATATCTATGAACCGTACAATTTGATAGAATAACTATGTCATAGTGGCCAACTGCGGTGGCTCGCGCTGCTTCCGCCATCTTTAAGGCGAATTAAGAGAGGGAGAACTAAGTACTAGTGGTATTCCCGCGGGATCTTAAACTAGCCACGTGACTATTCTTTGTTTACCTGATTGGTGTAACGGCGGTAGAGTCACCGGATCACCTTTCAAATCAAAAGAATGCCATTTTTCGTGATCCGATATCTCGCTGTTTTACTACGATCGTTGAAATTTGATAAACTCTGGTATGCTAAATTGTATTTTGGATCTTGTTTGAAATGTAAAATATGTCTACTCCAACCAAAGCAAGGAGCAAGCGGGCGCTACCGAGTGTTCCTCTGGAAAGAGCTGCCAGCGTCGATCGCATAGTAACAGGGACGCTGAAATCTGCTCGAAGGAAAGTTGATGTTCAACTTGAACCTAAAGGCGCTGATGTGACAAAATACAGAAGCCGTTCAACGTCACAACCGCAGCAAAAGAGTGCACTGAACATGAATTCGAAGCTTCGATCGGAGCCGTTTTCTAGAAGGAACGATCTGTCTTCAAGCGAGAGTGGTTCGGGCAATAGTTCACCTTATAACTCTCCTCGAGAAACAAGGAAAGCCACTGTGGCACCTATGGTGGCACAAATCGTCGATAAATTTAATAATGGCTCCCAGGAAACAAAGTCTGAGGAAAGAGTCGATATTAAAGAAGAGTCCTTTGGCACAGAGAAGAAGATCGCGCGCGTTCTTCCAATGACACCGCATTTTCTCGATGAACATACCACAAATGAACAGCCGCAATCCACTAAACAGAGTGATATCGATTCGATAGCTGATTTAAAAATCACTAATCTACAGTCAATGGAAAAAGTCAATAGTCACGGCGATGAAAAATTAAAAGGCTCCTTTATTCCTCCCAGGAAAGAAAACGTTCTTGGTGTGATTCAACCTAAAATGGCCGGAACACCATCGAGTGTTACACAAACACCATATCAACCACTTGCCGACGAAGCCGAAGGATCCAGCGTCCGAGTCGGTGTAAGAGTTCGACCGTTTTTACCAAGGTGAGTATAATATTTGTACTTGTATTTAGAGTATGTGTGCGAGCGAGCGATCGATCGATTGAGTAATGTTGACTTCAAATATAAAGAAAGTTAGAAAGATCTCTGATCTAATCGGCTAATGAGTTTATTTGTTGTTTATGTGATATTTTATTATTCAGAAAGTGATAACTTTTGCACGTTGTTGGCAATATCGCCTCTACCATACAGATATTGACCAATATCGTAATTTTCCCAAGGTGACGTTGCATGGCTTGTCTGGCAAATTGTTTATTCCAGCCGATTCTGGAGTAAGATGTAGCTGTACAGTACATTTCAAACACTGCAACACGTTTTATCGGTGATCTGTGTGACAGAAACCACAGGAACCGGATTACATGTTTGTCTATCAAAAATTTGAGTCAACACTTTAACCTCCAATTCGAATCCTATAAAAGGCTTTAAGAACAACAAAGATTATCTTTGACCCGTTCGCAAGTAATAATTTTTTTAATAAACTTTGTTTACATAATCAAAATTCCTGCGAAATGGCGATGGAATTAAAACCTCATTAATTCATTGCTATTCAATAAAAACGATCAATGCCTTTGTTTCTTTTAATTACAAAAGGATTTAACAGCGGCTTATGGTAACCGGAGGCCCAGTATTGGATGCTATTTGTTGTTTTCTCTTTGCCACTCACAGGAGCTTAAATGCCTTCCTTTTGAAGTTTTTCATTTAATCATTCCACTTCCCTGTCTACCGACTGATTCGTTCTTTGGATAAGCTGCATTATTTGCACTAAAAAGTTTCCTTGGCATGTTTTCATTGGTACTGAAGGTGAAAAAAAGGAAGAACAAATTATTGGAAAATTCTTGCAGATGTGATGTGAGATTTGGATCTCATTTAAGCAGTGCATTTTAAGATGACACCCCTTTCTAGGGATCAGTGAACTTCTAATACTGCATTTTATACCTCTTAAATTGACATGTAGATTAAATAAAATTTCTAAATTTGTGACCCTGTGTATTTTGGAGGGGAGCCCTTTCCTGGACTCTATTCTCATACAGTCGAGCCTCCACTAACGGCCACCTCTCAACAACGGCCACTTTTTTTGGTCCTGGTGGATAGTCCATACATTGACTCTAGTTTAAACCTCTTTACAAAGGCCACCTCTCTACAACAGCAATGGCCACTAAAGCGTGTCCTTAATTGCCAAAATCTCTTGACAGCGGCCAGTTTTGACAGCAACTGATGAAAAAGTCAAGAATAGTAATGAAATTTGATCCATATGCGCCTTGATGATTAATCGTGGCAATGGTATTTTGATTATGTTCCATTCATACTGCTGTAGTGAGCTTAAAAATTGTCTACGATACCGCTTAAAGTGACTGCTAACATTTTAAGTCAAAACATTTATTCAAGTTTTTTTTGGTATTTTATCTCTAGATATTAATGAGGATTAGATTACAACTAAAGGGTACAGTAAGCATGAACTTGCATAATAAATATGTTGTAGGTCCCTAAAAAAATTTGTCGCATTACACCCCTACCTCCCCATAATGGCCACCTCTCCACAACGGTCACTTTCGTCTGTACCCGAGGTGGCGTTTGTGGAGAAGTTCGACTGTATATTTATCTCTGCTGTAGACAGGTATGACGGGTCTGTGAATTATTTTGTACCTCCACAGGGAAGAAAATGACCCTAATGTCAAGAATTGTATTTCTATGAAAGAGAACAAAACTGTTATCACATCTGATGCTGGAATGGAATATGAGTTTGTTTATGATTATTCTATTTGGTCATGTGATCCCAAGCACCCTGAGTTTGTAGGACAAGAGAAGTTGTATAAATTGATGGGTCAGCCACTTTTGAACAGTGCTTTTGAAGGATACAACACTTGTCTCTTTGCGTATGGTCAGGTAAGGCTCAGCATTTATCATTCATGCACTTTCAAGAGGGAGGTTTGTTCTTTAGGCCCATTTATATAGAGAAGAGTTGTCCTGGGAAAAAGGGTCACCCACCTTCCCGAGCTACGCTGGGCACTCCAACTATTTCTTTACAAACTGTGGCGAACCAGTTACATGAAAAACAAATAGATGGCTTGGGTAGAAGGGTTACCTGCCTAGCCAGGTCACCCCTTTGTATTGGTGGGGTCACCCTTCTAGCCGGCCAACGTTTCTCGATATGAACACCTTGGACTGCCCAGCTGGGTCAAACTGGTCTAGGCAAGACAATCAGAGCATGCGTTAGTGCTGTTGGCTTGGGCAAAGGGTCGACTGTTTTTTTCATATGAATGTTTGCAAAAATTGACCTGACTGGGAGGGTGTTCCTTCTACCCGGGACAGGTTTTCTCCATATAAATGTGGTCTTAGTTTAAAACATTACAGAGAAACTATATATAGTGATTTTAGTAAGTACCTTAATCTTTTTACAGGCTTATTTCTTTATAATCCACTGATGCACCTTTAGACTGTGGTTTTAGTGAGAGCCATTTTGTTCCTTATTTTCTCAGATCTTTAGCCTGCATTGCAGGTGTTTTTCTATGGGTGCACAAAATTAATGTTTCTGCAAATGTAACCACTCTGTTGAAACTGCCATATTGAATTCCAAAAAGGAGAGGAGTTTTCTACTCTTTCAAATCTTTGTTTGATATTCAATAATTATAAAAGATGCAGGAAACTGCGGTAATACAAACACAAATAGGGTTCACTTTAAGTTCCGGCAAATGTCTGAAAAACCAGCTACTTTGAATTTTGAGCCGCCTACTTTTTGGGGGAAAAGGGTTAAGCTGGTGAGAGAGTGTTCAAAAGCCTGAAATTACCTCAGCACTCAGTTTCCAAGCCACCCACTTTTACACCTTAGCTGTATACTTTAAAATTTAATGAGAACCCTGCATAAACAAGCAACGTTTGTCCACCTAAAAATACTCCTGCAATACAGGCTAAAGTAGATTTTCAG